CCCAACGGAGGACACCGGCCAGCCGAGCGCTGCCGGTACCGCCAGAACGGTCCACCCTATGCCCCGCTCCGCGCTACAAGCATTGTACGGTCGATGAAAGGCATATTCACACGGATATGTTGCACTGTGCTGGCCATGCCGGCGGGGGCGACACCTCGGTGCGATCCGACCGCCTGAGAGTCGACACGGCCGCACTCTGACGGTAATACAAACATGGTCCATACCGGGCCCGAGGGTTGTACAAAACACTCAATCGTTGTATGGATAAATGCTACCAAAATGAACGCCTCTGGGCGCCGGCTCAATGAAGTACACGGGGTGGCGGTGTGACTGCACTGTGCAGCGCTCGCAGGCCGCGAACAAGCTCAAAATCGAACACCCTGATGGCACACTCATAATGCGGAACACTTTATAAGACGAGTCACGACACCTAATGAGAAAATGATGATCTAAACTCCGACATTAAACCCCAACCCACGCAAAAATCACACCGCTTCTATCAGCAGCGGAAGTAGTATCAGCCATGCGAATTACAAATAGTAAAGTAGCTGATCACGTGGCCAAGCCTTAGGTGATTATAGAGAAACATTCAAAAACGGTACACTGATCCATAGAAAGTCCCGAGGCCAGTCATGAATAACAGCAGGGCCCGAGTTCGCCTGGTCACTCCAAGTCACCGCCTGAGCACGGGGCACGGTGGGTAGGTGGTGGGAGCGAACAGCCCACGTGCAGAGGTGAACACTGGTCGGCGGCCGACCGCGAGTATCAGAGAAGCAGCCTAAAATCTCCAGAGTTGCTCTCTGCCGGCATTCATAGCAGTATCGTGAGAGCTGAGTAGACCTGCATTCTTCCTAAAAAGCCCAAAGGCCGCACCGGTGAGCGAGTCGCTTTCAGAGCAGCAGCGATCGTGCGATGGATCGCATCACACCGACCAATCACCAGCGGCCCGGCGTCCTCACCGACCAATCAGCGCCGCGGCCACCACCAGGAGCGCCAATCACCGTCGCTGGTGCTCCAGTTCGGTCGAGCCTCGCTCGTCCACCGTGCCCAGGGCATCCATATGCTCGCGGAAGTGGTCGTCGGCGGCGCGTATCCGCTCGAAGCGCTCCTGCAGCAGCTGGCGCGCGTACTCGTACAGCTCGAGGTCGAGCGCGTTCCTGCGTCGCACCTCCTCCAGCTGCCCAGGCCGCAGGGCGCGCAGCGCGCTCTCCGCGTGCGTGCGGTTGTAGGCGGCAAACGCCGTCTGGAAGCGCAGCCCGAACAGCTGCTCGAACATGTACTGGCTGCGCGGCTGGTCCTCGGTCAGCCCGAAGAAGGCCATCTGGCGCAGGTTGGTCTTGGCGCTGGCCAACATGACCCTGTCGCGCTCGTCCGCCGACATGCCGGTGCCCGTGTAGCAGTTGACCAGGTGCAGGTCGGCCAGCATGCGTGTCTGCCGGTTGGCGGCCAGGTTCGAGTCGCAGCGCAGGAACTCGTTGAGCGAGACGCCGTACCAGTCCTCGCCGTCGTAGCAGTGTGGCAGCTCCGCCTGGGACCGGAGGGGGCACAGACGGTCAGACAAATCACTGTCAGTACTCAGCAAACAGTGCGGCAGCTCCAACTGAGACCGGAGGTGGAATTTCAGACGGTCAGACAAACAGAACGTATGTATATCGTTCCTTCTCAATAACCCAGGAAAGGAGGATATAAGGGAGCAGGCAAGACGAACAGAGTACTGTCCGTTTTTACACACAGACTACATATCTTCGTCATGTTTCGCCTCTGTCCATCACTAGTCTCGGTCCCGTTTCTATTCCTCAGTCCGTGCGTAGCCCGGACGGACGCCATGAGGCCATCTAATTTTCATCCTGTCCGGTCCCATATCTTTCCCAACCTACACCTGACTGACCTCTGTGGCGTCCCATCCCACCACTGACTTGGCGTCTCCCCACTACTGGCCACTCTTTACTAGCATCCCACCCAGTACACTGAACTTCATGGCGTTCCGTTCTCTCCCCACATCCACCACACTGACCTCTGTGGCGTCCCGTCCGCCGCACCAGTGCCGACTGGTGCTCCAGGTGGCGCCCCGCCGCACGTGCTTCCACTCGGACAGGTAGCGCTGCACCGGCTCCCGCAGCAGAGAGATGTAAAAATACCTGACACAAGACGGGGAATTGTAATTGTACGTCCACAAATCGGGATACGGACCGGACAAAGGCAGGCATATTGAAACATAATATTCCGTCACTATCCATTCTCAGAAAAGTCAAATGCTTCTCCTTCACGCCTCAAGCCCCCTGATCCGGCCTGGACGGCCGCATGTATCCCACATGGGTAGCTCCTCAGAAGCAGGCCCATCGCGAGGTGTGGCGACTGTTAGGGGGCTGGGCGGGCTGTCCATGTGACGGTATCAACCCCGGCAGCGCACCACGGTGGCCGGCCGCCGCCCATACCAATATCTGTCTGCCCTTAGAACCTATCATCCTTCCGGCTCTGCGAATAACAACTATTGAACAAATTGAATTAAAAAAAAATCACACAGAAGGCATTTACGAAAACAATGCGACTGAGGAATAATTGATATATGGATGTCGGAATTACCCATATAACCTGAATCAAAACGATTTTACATTTCGTCAAGCAGGTTAAATGAACCAGATCTGAATACCACTTTGTAAGATAATTGATTAGGCGTAATTAAAACCTCAATATGTAATTTAAGGTGGACAAAAAATTATATGAGCTCTTGGTATGAAAACAAACGTTTCAACCAACGTTTCAACACTACTCAGAAAAAACACATTCAAGGCCTGGCTACACTATGCGTTTTCTTCGTGCGTTTTTTGCGTGTTTGCGTGTTTTGCGTGATATCGTTCTAGAAAAAAGAACGATATTACGTTTTTGTGATGTTTTTCACCTTAAATTTTAGTTACATAAGAGTTATATTAGCTTTTGTACATAACCAAAGTAAAAATTATATTGTTTATAACTTTTTTCCTAGAACGATATTACGCAAAACACGCAAACACGCAAAAAACGCACGAAGAAAACGCATAGTGTAGCCAGGCCTCACTCATTTGTTTAACCATTGAACAAATGCCGAACGAGCCCAGGCTATTAGTGTTAATTAAAGTAGTAACATGAAATATCGCCTAGTTAATCTAGGCGATATTTCATGTTACTACTAGGCATCATCGATAGGTGGCGTGATTGTGGCCTAGCTGACAATTTTGTCACCTGACGCCGTAGTTATACGACTCGTGACTCCTTCAGATCCATAAGTGTTTTCATAGACGCAATTGTTCTCGTGCATTCCAATCGCACCCCGCCCCAAGTGCAAGGGATTCAACTTGTCACGGTTCGAGTGGCCTCATGCCGTATGGTGTGACAATGTGCGCACAACGTTAGCCTCGAACATTGGACTCAGCAAGCCATGCATACGACTTCACTAGTCGAGCATCTCATAAAGGGATCATAGACGTCAAACTATGAGATCTTCATCCGGACAGATGGGAGTGGGGAGACATTAAATGACAGCTAGCGTGAGTATCGATTACTATCCTGCCAACAACAGGCTCTTCACCGCTCAAGTGGCTTATCAGGAGCCACACCACCAGACTGATCCGAGGAGGTGCTGGCTTGGAATCTGTCTGTGTCCGACTGTCCTGGCCTTGTCCGGCAGAGGAGGGGCACGCCCCCAGGCTGGTATCGGGCACGGGTGTGTGAGAGCTCACGTGCCAGCACGGCCCAGTAACTGGTCCTATCGTACTCACCCCACATCACCTCAGACAGGTGACTGAGGGACGACCGACACTCACGGGCTAAAAATGGGCGGCATTGTTTGATCAAGTACTTAGCGACCGCGTAAAAGAAAACTGTCATCTCGTACGACAATAGCGCTAATGTGCGAGCTAATTGAACTCTTAAGTGGCAATAGTTGAAGGTAAGCAGTAAGCACTCATTGAAAGCAAATTGAAAGCAATAATCAAGGCGCTAGATACGGTGTCACGCAATCCAGCTTTATATCGTTTGATCTATGTTTCATTCTGTATGGAAAATATCACTTATTCCTTCTATCGACCAACAACAAAACACATATGAGCCGTTGACAACAAGAACACGTCGGAATAAAAACAATGAAGTCGTGGGCACCAACAGCTAAAATCGATAAGTTGGGAAATATTACTAGACTTGCCAGTGGAACAAAGAATAGAACGGCACATTGTCAGTCATTGGTCACCATGATATGACTTTAATTTTGAAAATCACCTCACGTTGATCCCTACGCCCTGTGTGGTCCTTTGAGCTACCCTGCTTTGAGCAGGTCGGAAGTGCTTTGTCATCATTACGTTTTTCGTTTGTTTCGTCATTTCAGTATTCTGAAATTTCACAGTTGTGCCTCCTCGATCTAAGCAAATGCTTTAATGCCTTCGACCATGAGCTTCTACTTCAAAAACTGGCTATGCAAGGGATCAAGACCTCCTGGTTTTCTGCCTTCTTTAGGGGACACACCCAGAGTACGTCGCTGTCCGATGGAGCCAGAGGCAGAGCGCTGTCGCAGCCGCTTCAAAATAACATCGGAGTGTTTCAAGGATCCATCCTGGGACTGTTCCTCTTTAAATTTTTTTTTTTCCAGCAACCTATCACTATCCACAGGGGACGCAACCGTTTTTCATTATGCGCACATTTTCACTCACGTTTTAGTGAGCGGCCGTACCGAAGACCTCAGCCCACTTACCCTCGCATAGAAGCTCTCGCATAGAAGCTTCACTCGCATCAATCAGTGATTGGTTTAGCCTTCACGCCCTCAAGCTGAACGCAAACAAAACACAGGTCATGGTATTTGGCAGTAGACAAAATTTACGGAAAGTACCTAACTTCAACATCTCCCTTCGTGAATCAGTTTTGCTGCAGCCAAGCGAGCAGATGAGGAATCAGGGTGTCGTCTTTGACAGCGCTCTGTCCTGGGAAGCACATGCGTCCGAGCTCAGCCGTCGGTGTACTGTCTTGTTGATTGGACTGTCTCATGCACGAAATTGTCTTCGGACCAGTGTGGCCAAATTGGTGATGTTGCGGGAAAAGTCACCCCCAATGAAAAGTATAATGACATCCTCAGAAATTTTAAAATAACATCATCACGACGTTTTTGTTGTGAAAGCATACCTAGTGTAGGAATACAGATTAAAAATGTTCCAATGTACGATTGGCACCGTCATACTCGTGCTGTCGCGCCTGCAATGTTGTTGTTTTTTTTTTTTTTACATCTTTAATGACAATATTTGGAGTTTCTTTTCTTTCCACCAGAGCTCGACGTCAGGCATAGTTTTCCACTTTACTTGTAAAAACTGCACCTAAAATGAGGCTGAAGACGATTTTTGTTTTGAAAATAGTGACATCCTCATACGACGTTTTTATACATCCCCCCCCCCCCTAACGCTAAACCAATTTGGCCACACTGCTTCGGACGGTGTCATTAACGTTCTCATAACAGCTCTTGTTGTGTCACGGATCAACTATTGTCTTACCGTGTACGGAAACGGGACTCAACTCAGAAAATTGCTATCGACTTCAGAAAATTCTGAACTTTGCCACTAGAGTGATTTTCGGGCGACGTAAATTTGACCACGTCTTGGACAAGCTCGACAAACTTGGTTGGCTGCCCCCAAAATCTGTGTCCGATTACTTGAAACTTACAATCGCCCACAAGGTCATGCATCACGGCGAGACAGAGGACCTCGCTGTCATGTTCGTTCCCAATCAACACTTTCGCGACAGCCCGGCAGGACTATATATCCTTCATCTACCACGACCGATACTTGAAACCGGTAAACGGCGTTTTGAGTACCGAGCTACGGCGCTTTTGAATACCCTCCGACATCAAATAGTGCATATGCCACCTGCCAGCTTCGCCCGGTCTGCCAGGGCTACGCTGAAGAATCACACCCTGTTACGCCGCTGACCAGCTGTACGAGTAGCCGATAGGTCTGTCAGTATGTCAGTTGTGCAGTTTGTTTTGTGCACATGCCTTATGTAGAGATAAGGCATGTGCACTTGCCTTATCTCTTGCAAGTGATAAGGCACTTGCAAGAGTGCACTTGCCATGTGCACTCTTATCCTTATGTAGAGATAAGAGATGTTGATAAGCTTTGTTGCGACCCCATGGATGACTGACGTTAGACGTATGGTGTTGAGTATGGTGTTGACTGTTGAGCGTTTTCCCCCACCTGAATGCTTGTTACCTATGACTCGGGTCTAAACCGTAATCGCTACGCTGTATGTGGAAGATTTGTGATGTCAATACAATTATACCATACAATTCTGCCCGGGACGCTGCCGTCGGGTGGCGGCGCGCACTGACCTGCGCTTGTGTCGGTCTCTCTCCAGCTGGTCCATAGCCTCATCCACACAGGCGGTCAGCTCTGTCCAGTCGGCGTGCAGGCCGCACCGCCAGCCAGTCGAGTAGCGGCTGAACAGCCACCGGCTGTCGCGGCCCGGCCGCAGACACTGGCATCTGGCGGTGACACGGAACACTAGCGTCACCACCGACCGCCGTCGGGCGCTCACCGCAACCACCAATCAGCGAACGGGCAATTGCTGGGACTCGTTAGGTACGTTAAATACTACATCCATTGTTTGTATTTGAACACTGGGAGGTGGATAAATGTTTCAAATAATATCCCTTCCGCTACCACACCTATTGGCACTTAAGTAACAGCACGTTATCATAAAACACGTAATTCAAAAACACGTAAACAACACCTCGAAAATATTTTGACCATTTTTTAAAGCCGAAAGTAATTGGATTTAATCTCGGAACAACGGCTAACTTTCAGTGGGCCACAAAAAAGTATTTTATAAAAGAAGTCTGCTGAATACTGTAAATGATTATACCTAGACCTTGGCAAAAACATTCACACCCCAAACCGTAATTAAAAACATTCGACCTGTCCCATTAGTGTGGAACTGGACATGACCCTCCAGCAAGCCTGACAGCGCCCCCGCTCCACCTCCTTACCGTTTCTTGCGGCGGTAGCAGACGCACGGCCGCTCCAGGTCCAGGTCGTGCACCAGGTGGCGGCCAAACTCAGTGCCACCCGTCTTCTGGATATGCAGGAACACCATGACGTCGTCCCCCGAGACGTCGAAGCGCACTCCCTCGCTGAGCAGCTGGTCGAAGCTGAGAGAGTCGGCAGCGGAGGGCAGCCGCGGACGGCCCTGCCGGTCGGCCAGCGGAGCGCCCGGCGGGCCGCCGGCGCCCAGACCGAGGCCGCCGCCGCCGCCGCCGCACGCGCCCGCCGGACACAGGTAGGCGAAGTAGACGATGGCCAGCGTACTGGCGGCGGCGGTCAGCAGGAGCAGCAGCCGCAGACAGCGCGTCCGCGACATGGGACGGCCCGCCTTCTCGGCGGCGGCGGTGGCGGCGGCGGCGGCGCGGTCGGCGGCGGGTGGCGGCAGCAGCGGCTCGGAATCGGTCTGGATGCCAACCTCAGTCATGCTCGGCGGTCCACGGCGGCTGCGGAGCACGGACAGCGGCCAGTGTCGGAGGGGGCGGAGGGGCGAGGCACAGAGCTGTGCCCGCGGCCAGTCTCGGCGGACGGCGGTCAGCGCGCGGGTCCGCTCCGCACGCTGGATGGTACTGACTCACAGGCTGGCAAGGCCACCGGACAGCTGACACTGCAAAACAAACGGTCTGTGTTTGTGTGTGGTGGAGTAGCCCACCCGACAGCCCGAGCCGACAGCCCTGAAAATTGACACGGAAGTGGCGCGTACTGTAGCCAGGGCGTGTTTAACCAACGCCGTGTTGGTGGTCTGTTTTCCGTGGAGTCCTGGGGGGGGGCACGTTTTTACAACCCCCCCCCCCCCTCCCGTCTAGGCCGGCTCCGGTAAGCGACATTAGAAAGTGTCGTAAAAAAGAGGAAGAAGGTACGTCGGGCATTTTTATGTCAGGTCAAAGGTCAGGTCAGCAGAGGTCATCAAAGGTCAAATTTCATCAAGTTTCGACATTTTCGACACAGTTGGGCATAAGTTAGGAATGAATAGAGATACAGTGCCGCGGAAAAAACGCAATCGATAGCGCTTTTAACGTTCCTTCTGTATTGCGCCCTCTGTTTTGACCTAAGATTAACGGTTTTGCATCCAGACTCCAGAGGGGAAAACAATATAAAAATTGACGCTTTATGGTGCATTTTTTTCTGTCATAGCATTTGACTGAAAAAATGACACGAAATTGAGTTTTTCGGCATCGTGTTCCTCTTGTCGAGACACGTCATATAAACTTTAATTCGAATTCGAAAGTTCGTTTTGAAAATTTGACCACAGGCCAAAGACATGAACTGACTGGAAAGGGGTATGGTGAATATCAGTCGATTCGTATTGTCAAGGTGAACACAAACAAGTTTTTCATCGCTCTTGTATGTCTCTATCAAAAGTTATCGTCAACAAACTGCTGGAGACCTTTCATGTCCTGGGATGACCTTAGGGGCTTATAGAGGGGTCATGGGTGGTAATATTCCGATTCAGTGTATCATGGTTAGGTCTTTCTTATTATTCCCTGAAAGTTTCAAAGCGAACGTTCAGTTAATGTAGTCATGGCGAGCATCGGAACATTTTTTGAGGTAAGATATGGGTCTGAAATTTTCACATGAGTAGAATAGATGCATGAAAAGATGTGCCAAAAATGGTGGCACAGAGGATATTGGCGAAAAATATGTGAAGCAAGAAAACACCCCTAGCATGGCGCAGATTAACCAGGTGAATGAGGACTGAAGGCTGATGCATAGTTTGATTCAAAAATGATCTTAATTTGGTGAAACGATGATCTATTGCAATTTCCATGATGAAAGAAAATAAGCAAATTTCTTTAGAACATTAACTTAATTCCAAAAAGCATCCTATAAGGTTGCTATCCAAATTACACAACTGCCAGTATCCCAAAAAGAATCGCAAGACATTTCATGCAATTATTTGCGGACGAAAATCAACATCACAGTAATATCGAACAATGCAGAGCACGGATATATCAATATAAAACAAAAGCAGGTTAACGTTAATCCGCACCCTATTCTAGGGGAGGGGGGAGAAAACCACCTCTGCCTGCTCTCGATAGCTACAGAAGTGACTAGTGGGTACCTAACGCAGATGTTGCGACCACTTTCCCTTCCCACAACCACTGTAAACATGATGACCAAAACAAATCAGTTCAGAGGTGATCAGAATTATTAAGATCAGCTGAAATCAATTCTGAAAATGAGTAGGTACGTAAAATCATTTTCCGGGATTCAAGGGCACAAAATGTTTTGCAGGAAGAAGTGATGCTTTTGCTAATAATTGTTCTTGGTGTGGAATTTCCATAAAGCACTAAGCAGTGTTGGTCAACTGCAGGCTCATATTGATATTGTGTTCAGTGTTGTATGGCCTTTCCCTGTGCTGGTGCAGGCTGCAGCATCGTCCAAACAAATTTATGCACTAGCCAGGGAAAAAATTACCATTTACTGCCAGTTTATGTTATCATATCACAAAAAAGGATGCTAAACTCTGTTAACAAAAACTCTAGGCCTTGTTCAGTGCTGGCTGGTACATATTTCCTGCCTGGGTGATGCAGGCCCCTAATGTGTTGCATCATCCTAAAAATGTGATCCTTTGCACTTTGCAGCTGAAGTTTTCTTGAAACAAATTAACAAAATTGAGAACAAAAAATCACTTTTATCACCCTGTAGGTCAACCTTCAAATCCAAATCTGCATAGGTATAAAAATACACGAGCTGTTGATCTGTTCAGTCACAGCGTTTTACAGAAAGGCAGGCTTAAGGCTGCCAGCTTGCTTTCTGCTTCTTATTTGGCAAATTCGTATTGTATGTGCAATTCAAGATCAACAATAAGATATCAGAACCACCAGCACTGCAGGCAGAAATGACCTGTCACTGGACACATTTTTAGCTGCAAAAATATGTGTTCATGATATTTTTTCGTAAAACTTCCACATTGGGTCAAACTAAGACTAGCAACTGTAAGGCTTGGCCAGGTTAGGTCAGGTCAGGTTATGCTATGTTGATTTCATTTTTTCAAGGCCCTATTTCATGGCATGATGCTACAACATGATACCCGTATCAGTGTATTGGGTTCTCATGGAAACATTGACATACTCGGACGCTTGCAGCACTGGAGCTACCAAGTTTGTAAATGCGAATTTGTCTAAAATCTGCACCAATGCCTACCATCATATAGCATAGTGCGATGCACTGAAGTGTCGCGCCAGGAAACATGGCCCTAGTTGAAAGCAGGGTAAAAGTATACATCAGGTCCGAGTGCCTGTTAAAAGATAAAGTTTTCACATTCTTACATTATTTGACATCCTGAATCCAAAAATGATACTTACATTTACTGGAAACGTGGAAAAAACACCAAATCACCAACCCATTTCACTACAATACCACCCGGCGGCATTAACACGCGACAAATGAAAAACGTGGGCGTTGTAGCGCTGCCATATGTGGATTGCTGCCAGTTCAGGGGAAATTTTAGGAACAGGGGTTTTGGGTGGGGAAAAGGAAAACGATACGAATGGTGTGATGAAAGTGACGTCATAATTACAAAAAAGGAACCTAACCTAACCTAACCTAACCTAACCTAACCTAACCTAGCCTAGCCTAGCCTAGCCTAACCTAACCTAACCTAACCTAACCTAACCTAACCTAACCTAACCTAACCTAACCTAACCTAACCTAACCTAACCTAACCTAACCTAACCTAACCTAACCTAACCTAACCTAACCTAACCTAACCTAACCTAACCTAACCTAACCTAACCTACTGATGTTTGCCTACCGGGGATAAGGAAAAAGTTACTTGCAGGAATAGATTGCAGGCAAGAGTAAATCAAATATTTTTAGGTTAAGTGGTCATGCATCAGGCTTCAGGCCTTCGGCCTGAAGCCAGATACATGACCACTTAACCTAAAAATATTTGATTTACTCTTGCCTGTAATCTCTCCTAAGGCATTGCCTTCGGCACTGCGCTGCTTCGCCGCGAGAAGTATTATGACGTCATTATTCACAGTTGAATAGCAACTGTTAGATATCATCCTTGATTTACTTGACCTTGGCCAGCTTTGCGCAAGTAATTGCCGCCCGGCACATTGCGATAGTGTGGAGCGTGTGGAGTTGGTGTGGAGTGCGGTAGCGATTTGCGGTAACTGTAAGTATTTCATAGGTGCTTTGATACTTGGTTCCAGAAGGAATAACTATCAGATATGAAATGAGGAGGTCAAAATACATCGTATAGTATGCTTTTCATAATCGGTTCGCCACTCGGACCTTATATATACTAATACCGAAAGCAGCCATAGCCCATAGCCCATACAGACTTGTCCGTTCAAAGATTTGTCCTGGAATGTCAAGGACCTTCTACTTATTACTTTATGAACCTGTGGTACCATGCTCATAGAAACAGATGCCGAACAGGAATACATTACACGAGTTGCAATGAAGCCTAACACCTCCACAATTATCATCATACCTATCTTGAAATCCCACAGCTATTTCAGCCTGGTAAAAAATAAATACGTCATACTTAGATAAAATCCTAATTTTGCCTTGGTGATGGGCGGCCAATGGCAAGACTTGAGACCACTGAACTCTATAATGCTTGAGACGCTGCTCCTAGCAGTTGATCTTCACCATGGAGCTCGCATTTTGCCAAGAGAAATTATAACCAGGCACCAACAAAAAAGCAAAAAAGAAATCGGTCCCACCCATGCCGCCCATGCCATACATACCTTTGAAATCTATTCAGGCATTTTTTGCATATAATTTATCAAAAAACAAAATAAAAAACAACAACTTGCAACAACCACAAATTTACGTGCATTATGTGGCGCACTTCCATATCAACCACCACGAAGCAGCTGCGCCGGATTGTTTTGTGACGCGTGCTGCAATATTGCTTCCATTTCCCCCTGTTTCAGAGGATCCCTTGCTTTTAGATTATTTTATGTCCGTTTTACACAGGCGCCTATGCATATGCATGCTGCATGCATATGCAGAACCATTCAAAGCCTCCAGAAACCTTGTGCAGCCCTTGGAAGCATGGGAATCTCAGACGCCGATGGGACAGTAGCGGCGGAACACCTTCAATTAATTAACCCGCGCCCCGTAGGGGGGGGGGGGGGGAGGCGAAACGCCCCCCCTGTCCTTTTCCGTCGATATCTCCTAAATGGCTAAAGATTTCGCCACCAAACTTTCAGGACCCCTCCGGGCATCAATTTTACATATTGTGACCAAACATTTTTCCAGAGGCTATGATAGGTTGGCCACAAATGACGTCAGAATGACGTCATGTTCTGCCATTTTCGACCGAAAAAAGATCTTCGCGAGAATTGAGCTGTCAGGCCTACAGCTTTGAAGATACAGAAAAATGATCAGACATCGAAGGTGAAGAATTGACAGGGCTACAAAACTGCTATCTCGGATTTTTGCCATTTTTGAGTTTTGACCCCCAAAAATCAAAAAAGCATTTTTTTTATATATTAGCCGAAAAATTCAAAAAGTTTTTTGATTTTTCGAAAAAGGAATATATGTGATAGTACCCACCGTGTTCTATCTACATACCAAATTTCAGATCGATATCTCGTTTTTTGGCCAAGTTATAGCGAAAAACCTGTTCAAAAATGATGACGTCAAATTTTTCAAACTCATTTTTTGGCAATTCTAGACCACGTATGGCAAAACAAAGACCACCATTAAACTCCCCGTGACGAGCTGCATCGAATCGATACCCATTTTATGCAAAAATATCGGCTTTGAAATTTGACTTAATTTGACCTGACCTTGACCTGACCTTAACCAAAACGTGACCTTAACTAGCCCCAAAGGCTGCCTGGCCCACATAATCGCATTTGTCACGTAAAATGGACCATAAAACATGCATCACACGACACTTTCGTATTGTGACCCCCCATGGTGACTTGACCTCTGGGGCATTCCACGATAGATCGTACCAGGCCCGTCACCCTCATCTCTCAGATTTTAATGAAAATCTGTCCTAGGGGTAATCATAGGCCCCAAAGACGCCTGGCAAAATATCAGACTTCTCAGATCAAAACTTTTTGAGTTATATAGCATTACATTTTTTTAACTTCGGTATGTAACGGTGAGTTTGATGGCCTTTAACTCAAGAACGGGTTAGGCAACCAACAAAAAGTAAACAACACTAAGCTTGCGATGAATCAAAAATTAATATTACTATTTAAATATTCCAAAGAAAAAATTTCATTGTTGAGCAAAAACCTTAATCTTTTTTCATTTGCCTCTAATGACTTTTGGGACCAAATTTTTTCACATTTTTATTTTTTCAAAATAATCTTCATGTCATTGCAAATCGACACGCAAAAAATTAGAAAGGTGTTCTTTCTATAAGTTCCTCATTTTCCCGCAAACAAAATGGGTTTCGGAGGGGTTGATAAGACCCCAGCACGCCGTTTCGCTTCTAATAGAGCTAGAGCCTCGCGGAAAAAACGAGCGTGTGTGCCGTTACAAGTCGCAGCGATTGGTACCCGATTTTAAGGTCTCAGGTTAACCGGTAGCGTCTGAGGTCAGGTCACGTGACTGAAGTTACGGGTTCGGTTTTTAGTAAATAACTTCGCAAAAAATGGCCGCAGAGCCGCGATTTTGGCATCATTGTGTTCGCCTAGCTCAGGTGCATCGAATGGTATACTTTTTGCTAGGGTGAGGTCAACTTAAGTAGTTGACCTCGGGTCAAGGTCAGGTCAGAGCCCCTCAGGTCACGAAGCTGGGCAAAGGGTATCATATGGCATATCATTCGATTCGGAAGGTCTTCCCGAGTCCATTGGTGGCTTTCCCGACTCTCTAGCTCAATTTGATCGGGAGTTATTGACGAAAAACTCGTACGACCCTAGTGACGTCATAAATGACGTCACGCAAGGTTAACAATGCAAAAGTAAAGCATTGGACTTTGCAAGGAGTGTATGAAATCAGGTTACCATGACGTTGGATAGTTTTAGATCATTCTCGGCGCCAAAATAACAGTATTTATATTTCCCCATTGATTAATAACAGTGATGTCACGTGACCGACCTGACCTCATGTAACCTTGAAAAATTCCCAGATATACAAGTTGTGAGACCTTTGGAGGACACCATGTATGCGTCCTGTAACTTTCATCTCGGACAGCTATGGTCATTGGCGTCCAAAACAATGTCAGAACCAAACAGCCTTTTTCACCCTCGCGCTTATAGGAAAGAGGGTTGAATGAACCCTCTTTTCACTTTTTTCAGATGACTCAGACTTAAATTGAAATTTCAGTAACCCGCGATGTCACTAGGCAGCTTTACCACGCCATTTGTAAGCTCCCCTCCCGAAATCACTATTCGAAACCGTTATCGTGACGTAAAATAAATACATTTATAGAAAGAACACCTTCCTAATTTTTTACATACTTCTTAACAATGAGCCAAATATTTTTTTGAAGAAATAAAAATTCAAAAAAATTTGGTCCCAAAGTCCAAAAAATACAAATGAAAGAAAACTCGATATGTCATATATCAAAAATAGCGTATTTTTCGAAATTTCAAAAATACATATTAATCTCTGTTTCATTGCAAGTTCAATGTTATATAACATTTGGCATTTGAATAATCCGTCTTAGAGTTACAGCCCGCCAAAACATAGCGCTGCAAAGCAAGATCCAAAAAATATTATACACCATAACTCAAAAAATACTTTGGTATCTGATAAGCCTGAAATTGTTACAGGTGGATTCAGAGCCCCTGATTACCCCTGAGACCAATTCTCGTCAAATTCCGAAAGATGAGGGTGTCAAATTGGAAAAAAGTGGTACGATCTATCGTGGAATGCCCCCTCTGTGACCTGACCTGGTATCAATGACCTCAGATAGCAATGTATGTGTTTGACAAACAATGTACCATACCATCGATGGTTTTCAATAACTTGCCAATTTACTCGATTTCACAACACATTTCTTGAAATGCCTGTGAACGGTGAAAATCCGATCTTTGACCTGACCTGTGACGTCATCGGTTTGACCTAGGTCAATGAAATTTAGTCAAAAGGTAGTTCCCCGGTGGGGCTATCGAACACCGTTTGAATTTTGAAAATCGGCCGGTAAATTTCCGAGATCTTAGGGGGGCGAAACAGCCCCCCCCCCTACGGGTGGTAGGGTCCGCCGATAGCCCTACGGGGCGCGGGTTAAGGGGGGGGGGGCACTGCCGACTTTTGGTCCCATTCTTTCCATGCAACGCTCATAGGGCTTATGTTAAAATGCCAAAATCAAAGGGGGGCACGGTGCCCCGGTGCCCTCCCCGTTCCGCCGCCTATGCTCAACATCACCGTTCTGGGGCCCTCAGAGTCGCCGGTGGGTGGTCGTCAGATGCGTTGATGTGGGGCCCTTAGAGCCTCGGAGGGGTTGGTGTAGGGCCCTCGTAGGGTTGGTGTAGTCCACCGGTGTATGTACGGCTCCTAGAGTTATCGGCGTAAAGCCCCAACAGGCCCTGGTGTCGGACTATGAGTGCACGCATGGGACCATCAGAGGCTGGTTAGTGGTATAGGACCTATTAGAGCTCAGCGAGACTTCTTTAAGAGCTTGTGTGGTGCCTACAGTAGCCTTGTGGAGGCTGGAGCAATTAGACACCAACATAGTCGCAGACGCCACTGAGACCCTCAGAGTCAACGGCGTGAGGCCCTCAGGCCCTCGGCGTGGGGCGTTAACCCTCATAGGCCGGCAGGGACCCTCAGAAGCCGACAAGAAGCCCTCTGAGGCCGGTCAAGGGCCTTCAGAACCCGGCGTGGGGCCCTTATGGAGATCAGCGTGGCTACTTAGGAGCCGATGAGGTCCCCCACGAGCCCTGGGGCCCTTTCGAGACGAAATGCAGCCAGCATGGACCCTCATCGGCCAATTGACGCCGCAGGGCTACGAGCCCGTGTACTCCCTGCACCTGATGGGGTAGCGTTACGTGCCCCTCGGTCCTACTGGCTACGCCACTGCATATTGTATGTATTTAATAAGCTCGATCAGTGGATAATCCACTGCAACAAAACATTACAGAAATGTCGAGTACCCACTCTTGCCGCGAACAGGCAGTCACACATAATGGTAAACCCGCGATTTTTGTTGTTTGAAGAGTCTGATAGAGGGTGATTAGTGGGCCTATCTGGGAAGTGGGAGGGGCGGAGCCTTCAGCCGCCAGGGTCGCGTACCGCCACAACAGCCACAGTTGTTGCTCGGGGAGCGAACGGCTCACTTCATCTCGCACACGAATTGTACGAACAGGTGAGGACCTACCTACAAGTCAACAGTCGCCGCGCTGCAGGCGGAGTCGGTCCGTCCCGTTTAGAATAATATCGGCACATCAACACTGCATTGGTTCATTCGAGGAATGTTATTAATGAAGTGTGAGGGATGTTATAAAAATACTTACATGAAAGTGTCTCTCTCAATTGCTCGGACGTTTCTGAAACATCTATTTACAATTACCTGGATAAACCTTATAACCTACCTCCCTATATACATGCACATTGCACACGCAACTTAGTTCCGAACATTGAAATATTTACCTTCGGATCACGATTCAGGGCTTTATAATAGAAACGTTCCACGGGCGTAGGAACGTCATGAAAAGTGGGTGGGCCACCCTGTCAAGGGGCCTCCTTTTCCAGGGGGCCTCCTATTTTTAGGGGCCTCCAACTTTTGCCTCATCCTGCTGCCTGCTTTCAAGTATGACCTCCAAATCTAGCTTCTGAGATCGGGCAGATGTACCCAGAGGCGTAACCGCTAAAGCGAACAGTGCGGAAAGTCCGCACCATTTTTAAAACTTCTTCCCCCTCCGATTTTTTTTTAGAATCTATTTGCCGCAAACGGCGCATGACCCCTGAAAACCCTTACACAAATGTCTTCCTCGTTTCCCAGGTGCCCCCATTAGCTTCATAGGCGCCCTCTTTGGCATATAAGCGCCCTATGTGCCTATAGTCATCAGAGACATCCCTATATGTCCCACAGTCGCCCCGTTGTCGCATACAATGTGCGCTTATCATAGGCGTCTCTTTTATGGACACTTGAAGGCGCCTCTCTTTGCCATGCCGGCGCCCCTGTTTCTTATGAATGCACCCCCATGGCATTGATCAATTGCAATTTGCAGACCTCTATTGCATGTGGACGCCCATATATGTAGGCTTCAGAGGCGCCCCTCTTTCGCATTGAGGCGCCCCTATGGGCTTCATAGGCGCCCCTCTATTGCACGTAGGTGCCCTACTGTCTCAGAACCGCTCCCCTTTGGCATGCAGACGCCCATCTTTCGTACGGAGGAGCCGCTGTGGTTCTTAGAGACGGCATGGTGCTCCCAGACGCAGATGGGGCTCTCGGAGTCAGTCGACAGTGTGGGACCTTCAGTCGCTGAGGGTGCCCGCCAGATGTGGACCTTCGGAGACGCCGGTATGGGGCCCTCAGAGATGCCGGTATGTGGCCCTTACATAGAGACACCGGTGTGGAACCCTCAGATACTTCAGTGTGAAGCCCTTACAATTGCTGGTGTGGAGCTATGAATGCGCTGGCTTAAATCCCTCCGAGGCCGGTACATGGACATTAGAGCTCAGTGAGAGTTTGTGTGGTGCCTTCAGTGGCCTTGTGGAGCCGTTAGACATCAACATGGTGCTCTCAGGAGCCGGTGAGTCCTCATAGTCACCGGTGTGGGGCCTTCAGAGCTCCGAGATACTGGTGTGGGGCCCTCAGAGGTGTCGGTGTGGGTCCTTCAGATGTACATATAGAGTCTTGAGATGCACAGGTGTGGTGGCCCACAGAGGCGCCGGTGTGGGGCCCCCAGAGCCACCGATATAGGGCCCTAAGAGACACTAGTATGACCCGAGGCGCCGCTGTGTGGCGCTCACTGGTGTGGAGCCATCACAGGCGGGTGGAGCCGTTAGAGGCCGGAAAGGGCCCTTAGATGCCTACAAGGAGCCTTCAGAAGCCGGCGTGGCACCCTTATGGGAATAAGCGTGTCTACTTAGGAGCCCTTGAGGTGCTCCCATGAGCTCTGTGGGGCCCTACCGAGCCGAAATATGGCCACGGCCAGTTGCTGCCGCATGGCTCTTCGGACTATCATTCTCAGGGGCCTCATCTGCCTAGTTTGAATAGAAGGGCCTCTCAGACCATCAGTCTCATGGGCCTCCTCTGGCTAGTATAAATAGAAGGGCCTGTTAGACCATCAATCCTAGGGGCCTCTTCTGGTTAGTATAAATAGAAGAGCCTCTCAGACCATTAATCTCAGGGGGCCCCTGTGGACACTATAAATAAAAGGGCCTCTCAGACCATCAGTCCCGGGGGCCTCCCTAGAAAAGTGTAAATGTGGATAGAGGGCCCCCTCAGATTCATTACAAGTGGACCTCTCTGACTATCAGTCTCAGGGGCCTCTTGTGGCCAATATGCATATAAGAGCCTCTCAGACCATCGGTCTCAGGGGTCTCTTCTGACTAGTGTGGATAGAGGGCCCTCCCAGACCACCGGTTTCAGGGGCCTCCAGTGGCCAGTTATATGAGCAGAAGGGCCTCACAGCCATCAGCCTCGGGGGCCTCTTCTGACTGGTGTGAATATGAGGGCCTCTCATACCATCAGTCTCAGGGGCCTCCTCTGCCTAGTGTGAATATAAGGGCTTCCCAGGCCATCAGTCTCAGGGGACTCTTCTGACTGGTGCCGGATTGAGGGACCTCCCAGACCGAAAGTTTTGGGGGTTTCATGTGGCCAGTATGAATAGAAGGGTCTCTCAGTCCATCAGTATCATGGGCCTCTTCTGCCTGGTGTGATTATAAGGGCCTCTCAGGTCATCAGTCTCAGGGGCCTCCTCTGACTACAGTGTAGGTAGATGGATAGGCCTCCCAGACCATCAGTCTCAGGGGCCTCTTCTGACTATTGAGGATAGAGGGGCCTCCTCTGACTAGTGAGGGTAGGGGGCCTCGGCTAAACCGCCAGTGTCAGGGGCCTATTCTGACTATAGTGTGGATGGAGGGGCCTCTCAGACCAGTGTGGATATTGGGGCCTCCTCAGATCCACTAGGGCCTCTCAGGCCATCAGTCTCAGGGGCTTCGACTGATAAGTATGAACAGAGGGCCTCCTTGGATCCATCACGGCCCCTTGGAGTCCGTGCGTGGGGATTCGTGGAACTTATTTTTACCGAGTTTGCTTATTCTGGAAGGTGACGACGTCCTCTCAAATCGAGACGAGGGGCCTCGAGTAAAAAGTGGGTGGGCCAAAACACATGGTTGGCCCCCCCACCTCGAAAAGTGGGTGGGCACTTGCCCACCTGGCCCCCCCTGTTCCTACGCCTATGAAACGTTCCAAGGACTAGAACTTAGGAGCTGGAGCCTATAATAGGTACCTTTATTTTAGAAAGAACGTTAGATGCGAAGTAATAAAAAATCAACTGTTTGGCTCGCTTCTCTTTATAATTAAAATAGGTACCTATCTATTAGGTACAAGTAATTGCACAATGCACGCACCTTATCACACAACCGATTGTTTCAGAGTGTTAACGATAGAGACTGGAATTCAAAAGTTTTATTTTTGTCTTTTCATCCCAGTTTTTGCTGTCATGCCCTTTTTGTATTAATAAAATCGAAAACTCTGAAAAATGTCGATTCATTCGACTGGTAGCTTGATTTCATTGAGGTAGGTATTAGGAAGTTCAAATAAAAATATGTAAAAAGTAAAACTAAAGTCTAAACTTGAAGTTCATCACATCAATTTCAATTCAACGGCTTCGGTAAGCTCCACTCCAACAAGCTCCACTGAGCCCACACTCCAGTAATTTTGCACGTATGAAGATAAAACATACGATATATCCTCCTAGCGATCCCTTCTGATTTATGAATTTAATTTAACGCATCATTCATTACCGTTCCATATATGTAAGGCCCGGGGCCGCCTTTCACTGTACTAGGCCGCGGCGTTCCTGTCGGATAGGCAACCCGCATCACTGGTATGTGCTGCGGTGCAGTCTAGCCAAGCAGGCAATTCCTAATGCGCGCCACTCCAACTCTCGCACATTACCAAAATCGGATGCCGGTTGAGGTCTAGCGGACGAAAATACACGTAGACGACCGTCGGCGTCACTCCAGCCTTCTATCAGTTCCGACCATGTGTCGATATTACTGTGCAATGTGCATGCCTTATCCCGATTCGTCGCATTTTCTGATGGTGTAGCCTGGGTGAATATCGCAATTATTGCCACTGAGTGCCGGGAGCCTGACGCGGTCTCCACCCGGCCTATCCACGCTTCCGGCAGGGAGCACGATGCGGTGCCACCTCTCTGTGCAGCTGGCAGTGGTCTGCCTGGCCGTGGCCTGGCCGGGGAGCGCCCTCCCTCGGCCCGCCGAGGCCGACTGGGACGAGGGGGTGCCGCACTACCGGCCCGAGGACCTGGTGCGGCCGCCGCGAGGAGTCACCCTGCCGCTGGCGCCGGCCGTCAACTTGACAGAGGGCACCGTCAACGGCCTGGTGTACACCATCGACCACGGGCGCACCTTCCTCGCCTACCAGGGCATCCCGTTCGGCGAGCCGCCCACCGGAGACAACCGGTTCAAGGTAGGAGACGCGCCGGAGATATAGTCGCCCACCGGAGACAACCGGTTCAAGGTAGGAGACGCACCGGAGATATAGGCGTCCACCGGAGACAACCGGTTCAAGGTAGGAGACGCGCCGGAGATATAGTCGCCCACCGGAGCCAGCCGGTTCAAGGTAGGAGACGCGCCGGAGATATAGCCGCCCACCGGAGACAACCGGTGGAGACGCGCCGGAGATATAGTCGCCCACCGGAGACAATCGGTTCAAGGTAGGAGACGCACCGGAGATATAGTCGCCTACCGGTTCAAGGTAGGAGACGCGCCGGAGATATAGTCGCCCACCGGCCACCGGAGACAATCGGTTCAAGGTAGGAGACGCGCCGAGCTACCGACCGATCGGGGAAGCGGGAGCCGCTCACTAGATAACTCTAGTTCAAGGTGGGAAAAACACCGGAGCTAACTATACATACATCTACAAACGTTCAGCGTAACACATACCAAATGCGCCAATCTGAATGAAGTTATCAGACATTGAGAGACCTTTACCTACTAATAAAAACATAACCCGTTGTGTTGTATTTTATTCCATTGGCTAAATTTAGGAATCACAGGAAAGGAATAAGAAATTAGGTACGAACTTATACAAATTACGAACACCTATCCAGGAAGGCTGGTAAAGCCGGACATTACCTGCTGGTATCCAGCCTATTACACGCTACGCCGTTTGCGATCGATACCTACCCGACGACATCAGTAGCGGCGGAACACCTTCAATAAAGGGGGGGGGGCACTGCTGACTTTTGGTCCCATTCTTTCCGTGCAACGCCCATAAGGCTAATGTTAAAATGCCAAAATCAAAGGGGGAGGCACGGTGCCCCGGTGCCCTCCCCGTTCCGCCGCCTATGGACGACACATGCACCCGTGATAACATGTCTCACTTGGTGACCGTCCTCCCTGCCCTGTTCGCCCCCAGGCGCCGGTGAAGAAGGGCTACTACGGCGACCTGAACGCCACCTACCCGTCGTACAACTGTCCCCAGTCGGGCATCCAGGGACCGGGCACCGAGGACTGCCTCTACCTCAACGTCTATACAACCAAGGTCAGTGGGTCAGACGGGCAGGGCTGCAGCCAGGAGTTCGATAAAGAATGTTTCACCGTGGGTCGATATATAGTACATCAACTACAGTCCGTATTGGTTATAAGGGAGACGGAGGTTGGACGGGTTCGGGAAACCGTTGTGGCTACTGACTGCACTGACCAGTGACCACTCTGTCGGTTTTAGCTCTAATCTATCCCGACAGCCCGCTGCTGCTACTCTGAGGTCCCCCACTGACCCCTCTGTACCCTCCCTCCCCAGCTGCCTGAGGACTTGGAGGGTCCGCTGCTGCCAGTCATGGTATTTATCTACGGCGGAGGGTTCACCACCGGCGGCTCCAGCCTCTACTACCCGGACCGGCTGCAGCGAAATAAGGACATCGTAGTGGTGACACCACACTACCGGCTCGGAGTCCTTGGTGAGTGCCCAGAGTGCTCGGTGACTGGCGAGTGCCCTCAGAGTTCAGACTGTCCTGTAAGCGTCCTCAGAGTGTTCAATGAGTGTCCTCAGAGTGCTCGGCGACTGGCAAGTGTCCTCACTATCCTGTAAATGTCATCAAGATGCTCGAAGACTGTTCTCATTGTCCACACTGATAAAACCAATGCTCGCCGGCCGCCGCCGGCGCTAAGCCATCCCGACCCGTGCCGCGCAGGATCGTTCACCACGCTGACGGACGAAGCGCCCGGGAATCTGGGCCTGCTGGACCAGGTGCTGGCTCTGCAGTGGGTGCAGGACAACATTGACGCGTTCGGCGGCGACCCAGACCGGGTGACCATCTTCGGCGAGTCGGCCGGCGGCGCCAGCGTCTCCCTGCTGCTCGTCTCGCCGCTCGCCAAAGGTGAGGCGTGTGAAGGAAAAAGAGCGGAGAGGGAGATGATACTCAGCGGAAAGATGTGGCATTGACGGTTGATTGCTGATTGGTAAGCCCTCAGCAGGACAGATATGAGTTCCACACCAGAGAGGGAAATTCGAGACATTTCAATCTTTCCATAAAACTCGAATAAAACTCAAACGATTTGCTACCCCATGTCGCTGCGTTCGCAACTCAGCGTCTGACGCCGTTCCAACTCCCGCAGGTCTGTTCCACGCGGCGATAGCTGAGTCCGGCTCGGCGGTGGCCGACTGGGCCTACAACAGCGACCCGCTGGTGACGGGCCGCGCGCTGGCCACCAAGGCCGGCTGCCCGCTCGAGCAACCCGCGCTGCTCCGGTGTCTGAGGGACATGACCGCCCAGCAGCTGGTCCGCCTCGGAGACGACTTCTCGGTGAGCGGGGGGGGGGGAGCTGAGCGAAGTGACAGAGTGAGCGGACGAGGAGTGATGAGCTGACATGGTGGGCTTCCAAGGTTCGAATATCTACCCCAACGAGTTGTTTCGATGAGTTGTCTAGATAAGCTGGCTCGGTGGACAATCGTGATGAGCCGCCTCTGTGAGCTTCATTGAGAAGTTATCTCAGTGAACTATCGTGACAAGCTACCGCCGCTGACGCGGCGAGACGCAAGACGATGTGTCTCGGTTCGGAGTGTGGTGAATGCCTCATCAGGTCACTGCGATGCTAATTTAACGTCCTCTCGGCTCTCTCCTAGGCCGAAGAGCGGAAAGCGGCTCGTAACGGATTTGACGGCCTGAACCCCATCATCCAGCCGGACACGATCAGCGAACAAAACCGATTCCTGCCCAAGGACCCTGTCGAACTCATCACGGAGGGGAACTTCAACAAGGTGCCCACCATCCACGGCACCAACAAAAATGAGGGCTCCTTCATTTTCGGACGTAAGTCGGATGTTACCTAGTTACTTGCTAACAACGTCAAGGTGGTCACACCCAAAATGAATAGTCGTCATGTTCAAGCTACCACCTCTTGCAAACCCATAAAGTAAATTTGGACGGTTAGTCAAACATCATTCACCATACAGTTTGAATAATATTTAAATCACAAACATCCATACAAATCATCACTACGTCCTGTTTCAGTGATGTACAATGACTATTTGAAAGAGAACAATCTCATCAACGATACCGACTTCTTGAAGAACGACTGCATCCAGAAAATGCTGTATACTTTTCGTGAGTAAATGAACTAGACACGATCATCCCAGCTGGAGCTGGGAGGGGGGAGGGGGGTCAGGGGGAGGAAGGACGCGCCATAGTTGATGGTCGGGTGGTCAATTCTTTTCATGCAGAACTGACATGAATGCAAAGTTAGCTCGGATTTTAAAAGGCGCACCAATGCGACACTGCAACAGCCTTATTGATCGCCATAAAAAATCATGATCTCTCATTCTCTCGTACAACCAACGTCAGCCAAGTTAGTCTATACAGTGTAGGTATAGTGGTCATGAAGGTGATGTTCGACAGCATCAACCCAGGACGCTCTCTTCTCGCCACAAGATGTTTCTAGTGTGTCAGACTCGCCCTCGTTGCAGACATCAACGACCCAACGGGAGGCGTGAGCCAGTCGATTGCCGACAACTACTTCTACTACGTGGACAGCTGGGACGTGAACACCATGTACCCCGGACTGGAGGACGTAAGGCACACGTGCCCGTCCGTGTGTGTAGGGCTGTGATTGTTTGTCATGTCACTTGTCACTTGTCAGTCTGGTCAGACGGACGGCACAGCGCACCACGCCGCCGTGTCAATTGATACTGATAGCTTGTTATAATCAACAATATTGGGTAGAAGATAGTACAAGCGAAAGCCAAACCAAACAACTTCAAAATGTCCATGAGTCTCTACCCACCAATGCATTCTAACCTAGCTATTCTAGCTCCGGTTAGTAATCCCCGTGACCGGAGAGACCTGCCGCCGCTCTGTCCGCAGCTGACGGGCCTGTTTGGGATGAAAGCTGGCGCCCAGACAATGGCCCAGCTGCTGGCCGAGGCCGGCGTGCCCTCCTGGATGTACTCATTCGAGTACCGCGGCAGAAAGAGGCTCTCCATGGCGCACTTCTTCTTCATGGGCAGGGACCGGCTGCCCTTCGACACTGGTCAGTTGGAGATAATTCCCCATCGGCCGCCATTTGACGCCAGTCAGTTTCATATATGCCTAAATAAACGGAATAACAAACTCTGCCATTCGACGCCGGTCAGTTTAGACACAAACATACCTGCAAACTTCCAAGTTCCAACCAACTGCCCTTCGACGCTGGTCAGCTTCAACTATAGACTAAAACTCTTCATAGGCTTTATCGATTGAAAGCAGTGCAGGAACGACGGATGCTGAAGGGAACGACGCTGCTCACCATACCGCTCACCGCAGCGGGCACATCCTCTTACCCTCCGCCCACCCCATCAGGTGTGACGCACGCCGACGAGCTCATCTACCTGTTCCCGTTCCCGCTGATGACCGGTCTCAACGAGGAGGAAACACAAGTCAGCCACACCATGACAGACATGTGGACCAACTTCGCCATCCACCAGTAGGTACCCCGGCGCTGCAGGGTGACGGGCTGAGCCGAACGCAGCTAAAGAACGACGTGAATCGAAGAATGAGGCGACCGACTAACAGGATAAAAATAATCCTCCAGTAAAAAACATTGAATCTGTATAGAACCACACGCTTTTGCATCCAGCATTCATGCAATTTTAGGGTTTTGTTTTGTGATATCACACAGCCATGTACCGCCTCGTCGATGCTAGTGCGGTGGATGCGCCAGTCCTGCGTCCCGTGACCGCCCTCCCGTCTCCCCAGCGACCCGACGCCGGCCGACTCCGGTCTGACGCGGTGGCCGCAGGTCTCCGAGGGCGGCGCCTACCTGCAGATCGCCGCCACCGTCGCCGTCAAACACGACTACAGCCAGACGTTCGACGTGGCCGTACAGGAACGCGTCAACGGCTCCGTCACCACGCCGGCGCCGACCAGCCCGTCGCCGCCGGCCTCCTCCTCCAGCGAGCCGAGCTGGCAGCACGAGATGGAGCGGCTGACGGACCAGCGGGACACCTACCGGGACACCACCATCGGGCTGGCCGTGCTGGCCGGCGTCGGCGCCGTGCTGCTCATCGTCACCGTCACCAGGCTGCGCCGTGGCTCAGGACGCTCTCCAAAGACCTTCCCGGTTAGCTAAATCCAGCGGGATAGATAGCATAGTTAATGAGGCTATGAGGAGTTTTTTTCTGTGGTTATCTGTTGAGCTGAGTTCAAAGTCATCGTCGTTTCCACGTCAGGTCAGTATGGACTGGATAGTACAATGTTCAAGTCATGACAATGAATCAACATCGAGGAAGAACCAAAGCCATACCGACGAGCACGACGACAGAGACGTCCCAATGCGAAGCCACGTCATTTGGGCGCGTGAATATGTGCAATGCGATTGTGCCAAATGTGTGTCGCGAGCTTTGTATATAACTATATGCATAATTAGTGTTTATTAATTGTATTGCTCGTGTCCTGTATGTACCCAAATACATTTGAAAGAAAGCAATTACAATGAACGTGAATTAACGAGCAGTTCGAAGCATCTGCTCCAAGGACCGTATCCGATTAAAAGTAGCCGGCCTAGCCGAAAAACAAGATTGGTGCCGAAATCTCAGATCCATTATCTCTTTTCAGACCTTCCCCCGATACTACTGTTGCCAAATCATGATCGCCGATATAGAGAAGCGAAATGATTTATTACCAACTAACCGAGACGCATCCCAAATCATCAAACGATTTCAAATCTCTCGGGTGTTGACAATGCTGCTGGAGCGAAATGGCGAAGCGAAGGAAAAAATCACCAGTTCACTCAGTCACGCGACATGTATTCACAATCTCTAGCGATGGGCGAGGTCACAATTCACGCTCTGGGTCTCCGCCGCCGAGCCAATGCCGTAACTGTGGTCAATCGACAGCCACTGAGGCTAGCAGCCGCCGAGTGTCGGGAGATGACCGCTCACCAGTGGACGGGATCAGCCGCGAGCGGTCCATCCACCCGCTGCGGACTGCAGGCCCGTACTGCGGCCAGGTATCCGGGGCGCTGAGTGCTCCTCATGACTTGTGGTATAGGTAGTTATGTGAGATGATCTCCCAATGCCCTGAGCAGCATCACTGCCACAACAGACTGAAAACAAAACAATATAATTTGATAGAGAAATGGTAAAATTGCAATTAACTTTGCGACTTCCGTCATTAAAAGCCAATACGTGTATTTGTAAACATCGCGAAAATATGTTAAAAAAGATGCTTATGATTATATTTTAAGAACAATATAATCATTTCTGAGACTCAAACCCATCATCAATGAAACAGGTAACAGGAAAACTGCTTTTTCGTGTCTTTTTTATCATATCATGAGATGATAAAATGAAAAATATCATAGAGAATATCTACTGTTCATAATCTCAGGTTCAAGGCCTTGCACTCTAAAGAGACCAGAAAGCTGAAAAAAACTTACCTCAATGGTGTGATTGGTGGCATTCCAGCATCTGCACCTTTCTTGAAACCTGTGAAAAACGGCATGAATTATTTTAAGCCAAATTATAGAGGCACTTAGTTCACAACTTCACTTTCACCAGTTCGAACTTTCATCGAGACAACCTCTTATGTTATTCCACTAGGTGTAAGACAACGTGTTTGGACAAAATAAATAAATGAGTAAAGAGTCACTCAATGAGGTAAAAGTCAACACTGGACGCATCCTTTCTTGTATATACCAAGTAAAAGTAGCATTATTTTCAAGTCAAAATGCAATTATTCGTGTAACGATTACGAGTGTCTTACACTAAAAACTGTCAAATGCTTTGTTTTCTCGAGCTAGTAGATTCATCTCGAGCCTTCTCAGACCTTTATCTCGAGTACAGGACCGACCGCACGGAGTTTCAAAGGCAACCTTCTCCCATTCCTTGTCGACTGTCACCCAATCCGGCTTTTAGCAGCAACTTAATTCTAACGTAATCGAAGAAGGTGAAAGCGGCAAGGCCTCTTTTAAAATCCCAAAAGTTGTGGCCAGAGACTTCAGCCGTAGCCCTGGCAAGGCTCTTGTCGCCACAGCCCACAAAACTCTTGGCAAACGCCGGGTAATGCGCTGGGACGGAGGCGGTCAGGGGAGCCCAAACCGGACGGATATGGAGATATCCACGGCGGGTGCGCGAAACGGCTCAGGCCTTCCAGCTTGCGAACTACTGTTGTTAACTCTGCTGAAGTGGTTGAAAACTATTCAGCTGTATTTCTATCAGCCCTGAAAGCCATATTTTCTTTGAATGCTAGCTGTTAAGCGTTGTTTAAGGAGCGTCATGAGCGTGGTTTTTGCCTTCGGTTTTTTTAGGCACGATCGTTTTGGGGGAATTTCTTTTATTTAAGTCGCTCTGTATGACTCGTTTATAATTTTTATGACGATGATTTCGATCATTTCTCGTCCCCATCCTACCAGGCTTTTTGCCATTTACACTCATTAAGTTAGGAAAAAGTAGAATATTATTGGGACTAGGTGTTTTGAGAGTGAGACGTACTCAGCGTCCCATTTTTGGATACTTATTGTGCTCGTCAACTATCAGTGTTAAAAGACAGGTACTTAACATGCCTCCACCCTCGGCGCGGACGGCGGATATAGGTATAGAAGACCTTGTTAAACATCGCTGAGCAGTGAGCGTTGTGAAGTACTTAATCCTGCAGAGGGGGGCGTGCCCACTGCGGGATCGAAGGGAATAAGAGAGCAGAAGACCTGGTGAAACAAGCGGCAGTCCAGCCGGAAATGTCATCTTATGATTGTTGCGTTAACAATAACCACACAATAACTTGAGGCGTCGGACGTGATGCGTGTTGATGAAAAGAGCCCGTGAAAGGTCAGTGAAATCGTTCCCAATTTTGGGAACGCCGTCGGCCGTTTTCATAATAAGGAACGCTGGCAGGCGGCAGCACCAGTGTACGAAAGCGTTCCCAAATTTGGGCATGCGGCCCGCGAGGTGGACTGCTTTAGAAATACGGGAGCGATTTGAAATTATGCTGGGCTTTACAATACCAAACTCTTTCCCAACAATATTGAGACATATATCAAGAGGTTCACGATCGTTTTGTATTTTTCGGATGTCATTTAATGGTTCTTATTCTTGTTTTAAATAATGCCTAGGCTACACAGATTCCCATATTTGGGTTTTTCATTCCCAAATATGGGAACAAAAATGTGGTCCTGAAAATGGGCATGCTTGACCATAGTTCCGTCTACTGATCTATCTCGTCTGGTCTGTCATGTCCGTCGCGAAGCTAATTCTGCACCGCACTACACATCCGCACCACACCAAGCCGAAATCTGCACCGCACTAAATCCTCACCAGCTGAACAAGCCTGCACTGACAAGATCTCGACAAAATTCCCATACTTTGAAGACAAGTAGGTTGTTAGGTTCAAGGTTGTAGTTCAGTACTATAGGTACCGAAGGTAAGGTCAGGTTAGATTGTTTTTCATCTTTACTGTGCTTCATCTACACATTTACTGTTTCTTGCAGTCTGGCTACACAGTTAAAAGGTATTTGCAGTAGGTACTCACCCAGATAAAGAACTGTGGGTACGAATCCCCAATGAAAAATAGTCTTGCTCACATTGATCACCACACTCAACCTGTCCTTAGCTTCGGAGCTCAGCTTTATCATGATTGTTTCTAATTTCACAATATAATTGCAAATGTAAATATAAAGGTGGAACTATTTGTCAAACAGTATCCCAACTATCCCGAACCCTTTTACAATAGATACGGGCGATTAATTTTTCAAATGACCTCGTGGTCACTTCAAGGCGGTCCCTTTTCCATAAGTGTGAGTTGCCATTATTAGTTCAAAGGGTAGACAGTTCAAAAGATCATGCAGTCAACCGGCTTCTACCATTGGACAGATTCGGCTAATGCAGCTTTTAATTTGCTGACAGCTGGCAACGTCATCACATTTAGCAAAACAGAACAGGCAAATAGAAGACGTAAATGACGCATATTTTCATTATGAAAACAGATATATTACGTCACGAGTAAATCATTATTTTTCAGGAGCACGATGCATTATTTTGCTTTTGTTTCCACATAATGCTACAAAAACTCCTTGATTTTTTTCTTCAATAATTGTTTTTATTGAAAACAAACTAATTTGTTGACCTATATTCTCAAAAATACAAAATAAAATTCTTAAAAATGATTTTAGTGTATGATGTCATCAGAGACGAGACGTGACAAAATACCGATTGAACGTTTGCCTTACGTTTCGCCCCTTTTTCCTCCATCCTTTCTCTTTGTGGTCCTGCTGAGTAAGTATGGTTCGTTTCTGTGTGAGATTTCACGTAAATGGTGTATGAATTTATCGCCATCGGTTGCGCCATTGCTCTTACAATTTGTCATTTTTACAGATCTACGGCATCGGTGTATCAACCTTCTTCATTCGCTGCTGAGTGCTGATCTTGAGACGCGTTGCCCGCCCGCTCAAGCTGCGACGACCGCTGTCAAATCGAAACCAAGATCAAGACCAACTGAGACTGCTTCTTATAGAAGCTTGAAACCAAATACCCTTCACTGCTTAGGTAGTTTGACAAATCAATTTTTAACATCAAATCAATGCATTATGTTTCCTTGATACCTACAAAGGCTACCTCATATTAGTTACATTCCATAGTATTTTAGTATTTTTAAGGTAATCTGGTAAGGTTTGTGGCAGGAAAACCCTATGACATGACATGACGTTTATTTGGGTAATGCCTTTGCACCCTATTGCTCACAATGGCTTTGTGGCAATCTACTTTGTGTAGGTACCTATGTGATATTATGAACTGACCTTGTTGTGTTGCATTTCAGGTCTGTTGGGTCAGAACTTGGTTCCTGCAACTAGCAATCTCACAAAGATCAGTCAAGCACTAGATATATAACATAATTTTCCTTTTATTTTTCTGCTATAGCCACTTTTCTGTTCCATTGCCCATGTAGACATGTTATTCATTTTCAGTGTTACCCATTGCTATGGTAAATTATCATAGTTATAACAAAGTGTTTAATTGCTGTAACTTTTTTATTTGTTTCGACTCTTCATAGTAGTCCTACAATAATAAATAGCTCATAAGTTTTAAAATATCCAAGTTATTTTAGTTTGTAACATTTTTATTTTCATAATTTGTTTTATGACAACCTTTTACCTCACATACCTACAAGCTTTTCATTGACATTGACATTTTATGAAAGCTGCTTTTTCAATACCTAGTCTACATAAAAATAAATGTCAAAAGCAGATGTACCTAGATGGTCAGAAGCATATGGAGATGATATAAACTTGCAATGCATTAAATATTGATTGTCCTCTTACCTCATCCTGTTCCTGTGTGTGCTAACAGTAAAATACATTGATGCCTCAGTACTTATCTGATATTTAGTATTCCATACAAAATATTTTTTTTACTATTCTTGATATATTTTTTCTCGAACAAATAGAATACAGTTATTGCAGAAATGCAAGTCACCACCCACCTACCACTGCCAAGTTTGAATAAAAGCATCAATTAGGTTTCCATCATTAGCCTTGAATCAGGGTTTTAAAAGGTCTAAAATGTTTTTTTAGAGTGTGATGCTAAAGACCGGTCGATATTGCCCCTATGGGTTAGTTGCGTTCATGTGTTTGAAATAACAGCGAGGCAAACAGTTCAAATTGTCCCTCGCTTTGCACATGATCGTACATTTTGAATAGGTCAATTATCCGTTAGTCCTTGCCAGGCCAGCGCCTTTTTCATTACGTGAACGGCGGCTGAGGGTTAGTACGGCGATTGGAGCCTATGGCATCTACATATTAGAAACGCTAAATTTGCAGGGTAGGTGGACCCATAGGAAATCTCACTTCTCTACAAAGTTGGTGGCTAGATCAGTTTTGAGTTTTCTGGAGGAGGGTATAAGGTAAGCATTTCGTTAGAAATTTTCAAAAGTTTATCGCTGTAGCTTTTGTTCTAAAACAAATCGAGCGAAATTAAAACCACTAGTGGACTATTAACCCGCGCCTGGATGAGGCTCTCAGCCAATTTCACCATGGTGGGAACTGGGAGGGGACCTTTTTGGCCACACGTTAGTTATCTCGGAAAGTGAGCAAGTTAGAAAAACGCGGCAAAAAGCAATAGCTAGTTCGCTATAAGATCTTTTAAATTCAGACAGGTCATTTTTGATCAGGTCATCGCTGAGATTCTGAAGGTCACCAAAGATAAAATGTTCGCGATTTGTTCCCGATTTTGACAACTTTTCACAAATAGGCGCATAACTCGAGAACCTAATAGAGCAACAGCGTTGCGGAAAAGCGCATTCGATAGGTCTTTCAAAGGTCTTTCTGAGCAGTGTTCTCAGCTTTGCTTTGACCTAATTTCAACGGTTTTGCCTCCAGAGTGCAAAAACTGAAAAGTTGATATTTTTGCGGAAAATCTTTTTGTATAATAACTTTTGACTCCAAGCTTGTATTACGCTAATTTTACCGGCATCGCGTTTATCTCGCCGAGACGCATCGAGTGAACTGTAAGTTGACCTGAATAGGACAACTTTAAATTTTGACCTCACGTCAACGTCACGGAAAAGGTCATGTTGCATGTCATTCGATACTTATTGTCGAATGTTGAGCTGAACACATGCATGGTGTTTTCAGCGCTTTAGCATGTTTCTGTCTAAAGTTATTGCAAAAAAAAAACTGTTACAGACGTTTAATGGCCTAAGATGACTTCAGGGGCATAAAAGTTCGTTGCAATTTTTCGGCTTAGTGTGTCATGTTCACATGTGTCTCGAATCTTGATGTTTGAGGGGTTTTTATGGCCAAAAGAAGAGCATTTAAATTGTATCCTGTTGATGGATAGGTCACGAAATTCACCTGACCTTAGGCCACCGATATCAAAATTCCGAGATATAAAACTTGTTTGTACTGATTCCTTCATGCAATAGGCTGGGTTTAAACTTCTGGGATATAATCTCTAGGAATGACTGAATCACATTTTTTAGAGGCATGGTCACTTAACTTGACCTGGTGACCTGACCTTATGTGACCTGAGGTCAAAAATTTATACACGATGCGGACTTAATGTATCATAAGCTATACAAAGTGTTGCGTCGCGGAAAAAACTGGCAGGTGTGGCCAAAAACGTCCCCCCCCCCCCGCACCCGGGCGAAGGTTAGCCCGCGCCCCGTTGAGGTCTCGCAGGTTCCATGTCCTGTTTTGGAGGGGGGAGGGGTAAAGGGCCCCCGTCGTATCTCCGGAACCAATAGCCGGATCGGAAAAATTCAAACAGCATTCGAAAGAGTTCATCGAGATGCACAAGATAAGATATCGATGACCTTGGTATTTGACCTGTGACGTCACAGGAAGGTCAATCAAGGTCAAATCGTTAAGTTGAATTCTGAAAGTTGCGTTGCGATCGGCCGCTTTTTGCGCGAGTTATTCGCAAAAAAAAAAAAACTAGGGGGATCCATCGGACACCCTTATAAGCGCGAGGGCCAACCCACGAGCCGCTGGGAGGGGGGGGGGCAATAAGTTGCCCCCTCCCCACCCAGCGGCTGACGTTATCCGCAACCACGCCCAGCGGCTGCCGGGTTAACCATCGCCGGGCCCATATCAGTTTTCTACATAGGGGAGAGTGGGGTAATTTGGCCGGTGGTGTAAATTGGCCGCCCCCACCTGTACGAAAGCTGATAAAAGTGAGTGAAATAACTCTAGTCTCTATTCATTTGTCATGGGTAGAAGTAACTGGAGGACAAATGTCAAAACTTTGCCCCTCGTAGTTTTATTCAAAATTAATAAAACGTTAATTTCATTAGAAAATGGTAACTTTTACTTCTGTTTATAAAGTTGTATAACATGTAGTATTTGGTCTAAAAACGAATTCAGACATTATAGCGCCATTCTTGGGGGTGTTCAGCGGTTCCAAGAGCAATTTTATCTAATTCCGTAAAGCCGCAATGACTTCATAGACAAAAAATTTCAGAATGGCAATATGGGGTAATTTGGCCGGGACTAGCGGGGCAACTTGGCCGGTGCGCTCATGGTCACTATGCTGGGACGGCCGAGTTTTCATGGTCAATTGTACCATAAATGACATGATTCATGACCAACTTTGACTACTTTGATGCCTTAATTCCGATTGGTCAACTGTAAGAGCATGTGACGTCATCAAAGGTTACCAAACGTTTTTTGCTAATAAATCCTTGCATAAAAACGGTACAGCCGCACAAATGGTCTCATTCTGTTCAGCTCGCCAAGGCGCATCGAATGATATGCATGATGACCTTGAAACCACGTGACCTTGAGGTCAAGCGACCTGATGCAACGTGACCTGAGGTCAACCTTTGACCTTGACTTCTCAAGGTCAACACATATATCTTTCGATGCGGAATGACGAGAGAATTACGATGGTACTCGAAGTTTTGGCATAGCTTGATTACTTCAAAAGTTATTCGTAAAAAACTGTGATCGCATCTAGAGCCGCTAATTTGGCTATTTTGACCCCTGTGACCCCTGAGCCAACCTCCAAAATGCGGCAAATGCGTCATAGGACACACGTCATTGCTGAATCTGAAGCTGAATCGCAATGTAACAGAAAATCCCGACCGCAAACTAACACAGGCCAAATTGCCCCACACCCCCGGCCAAATAACCCTGCTAGTGGGGCAATTTGGCCGCCTTGCAGACCTTTGTAATACGTCACAATTTCAATATAAGTAAGTACTCTATCATTTCAAGTTCACTGTCCAGTAAAGTAAAATGAATGCGACACCTGCCAGCGTTGAGAAAATGCAGAAATGTGTCGTCAATTTTAAGTTATATCGTTTTCTAAAAAAAGCGGCCAAATTACCCCACTCTCCCCTACCTACGCCTTGGCTGAGAGGTGATGGAACCCCTTCACCGTCTTGACCCTAATTGAGCTAGAGCTTCGCGGAGAAATTTACGTGTGCGCAAAGGCGGCGGAACGGGGGGAGGGGGACACCGGAGCACTGTGCCTCCCACATTGATTTTGGCATTTTAATATTAGCCCTATGGGCGTTGCATGGAAAGAATGGGACCAAAAGTCGGCACTGGCAGTGCCCCCCCCCCCTTAATTGAAGGTGTTCCGCCGCCACTGCGTGTGCGTCATTAGTACGAGACGCAGCGACTGCTACTCAATTTCAAGCTCTTTGTTCAAACGGTGGCTCTGGGACCAGGTTAAGTAACCCAAGTTTGAAGGTAGAGGCTCATTTTTTGGTGAATAACTTCGCCAAAACTGGTCGCAGGGCCGCGTTTTTTTTTTGGCACCATCATGCTTGCCATGATCAGGCGCGTCGAATTATTATTCTTTATGTAGGACCGGTCAACTTGGGGCGTTGACTTCAGGTCAGGGCCAAACATGTCACGGCTCACGTGACATGTTTCATGTTTCACGAAACATGACAGGTCACGGCTTCGGCCTCTTGTAACGAAGCTGGTTGAAAGAGATCATGTCGCATATCTATTTCTATTTGGGTAATCTTCACGAGTCCACTTGTGTCTTGCTCGAAGTCGACTCACTAGCTCAATTTGATAGGGAAATATTGACGAAAACTCCGATGACCGTAGTGGCGTCATATAACATCGCTAATGTCAACATTGCGAATTGTAAAAGCATTGGATTTTCCAAGGAAGGTATGAAATCACGGTTCAATTTTTAGCTAATCTTCGATCATTTTTGTTGCCAAAGTAGCATTTTCCATATTTTTTTCCGATTGGGTTGCTGTAATTTTCATTGCGCTGTGGAAAATCACATGGTAAATGACACTGATAACGGTGCGAATTTGCGACATCTGAGGACCGTGCAGAGGTTCACTTATGACTCCATAGGTCATTGACCTGACCTGACCTAAAAATGCAGTTAATGTGTTAAAATCCAGCTTGAATCGAAGGCCAGCTGTGCGAACTTTCAACGCTCGGTCGCTATTGGGTTCTGAGCAATCGCGAAAAAACTGCGGGGTAGCACCTGCCTCTCCCAAGGGAGGGCCCCTCCTGCCGGCGAGGGTCACCGGTCAGGCCTTGGCTTAATCTTGCTCCACTGAACCATGGGGGTAAGAATCAGCGTTGCCGTGGTATTCCAAGCTCGGTGATCAGTGGACATCGCCAAAAATCCATCCATGTCATCTTTTGTAAGTTGAGAAACAACATGGTCGATTACATGCTGATTGCTGAGTTTGAACCAACGTGCACCTTTATGGAACGTAAATTAACTCATGGGCATGGACGCAATGACGTAACGGCAATGCTTCTGAAGGCGCCCAAGACCCCGGTAGCTTCTGGCTCGCTTCCTTGAATTTACGCTGGAATAACGAAGGTTATCCGCTGAACGGCTTGGGTGCTTGGAATACTGGAAGTGTTCTGCCTACGTATTATCACGTCTCCGTCCTGAGCTCTGAAAAGCCTTGCTTCTCATGGTCTCCGCCAAGGAAGAGCTGAATACTTAACAGTGCCTTTACTTTATCTCCGCTGTGCGGTTTACTGTGTGGTTAACCCGCTTGGTACTGTGAGCGGACCTTTGGCCATTGAAAGGCCTAGCCGAAATCTATCGTTTTGTTTGGTGACAAATCTTTCGATGGTCTTCTCGTTCGTTCTTTGAGACGGAACTGGTGACAACTTCTGCACTTCTTCCTTTCGTCGGCTGGCAGTGGTTCGATACTTGAAATAGTGAGCTCCGTTGTTCGTACTCTTGCTTAGTTCCCTCTACCGTCTTCAAAAACGTCCACGTTTAGTTGTCGCAGCATTTCCCGAAGCGCTCCGTCTCGTAAAAGCTGTGTGCTTCAGAGGGACGATTCCTATGTATCGGGGATGGTGATCGTGGCTCTGCGCACTTTGCGATCTGACCCACTCGATTGTCGGAGTAGATCGTGTTCTAGGTATTTTTAGTTTCATTTTGATTACAGGTCTGTGGCAGGGCTTACCGTTTCGAATTTCAGTGAATAGCTTCTGGACTCAGTAACGTGTGGTCTTGCGTCGTGGTATGACACGCTTTTGTCCTGTATCGATGATACTGGCAGCGTAAGGAAATAGTGTTTGGAATCGTGCTTTGTGAAATCCCGCGTGCCTTGGAGGGCTTCATTGATATCCGCTAAGTACTGTTGGTACTGCTGACTGACTGGGGCTTGTGTTTTGACGAAATTCAGAGGCCGTTTCGGCACTGTGCGGCCAGTGTATCTTACAGCGGCGTATCAGGGCTCTCCTTCCCCGCGGCCGGAGTGTAGGCGAAGCCATACGACCTCTGATCGCCTCGCTCGGTCGGACGAACGACGACCGCGTGACGTCATCACCGTCCAGCTGAGTCGCGTCGTCCAGTCACGTGCCCTGAGGGCTCACCCTGTACACGGGTGAGACAACCGGTAAGAGGGGGCGCGATGGTTTGTGAGATAAGTGGTCGAGACAGAAGGGCATATTCCGGCCGAAAATGTTAGAGGAGGGTGTTATATAGTGAATGTCATTGTTTGCCGATGGCATGGCTCGTCATAAAGTGATGAAGACCTTATAGATTTCTCGAGTTGGTTCGATGTGATCAAGGAAATTTGGCAGAGTTTTGAATTGCGTAGGGTGTAATGGGCCAAAAATTTCCATTTCGAAGGGACCGTAACGAAATCCGTGTAGAAAATTGTTGGATCAGCTCGCTATTTGCTACAGGACGACCTGATATCAAACGGCACCAAATGATTGATCGGTTTAATGATAAACCGTGAGAACGTCGGATATTGTGCCCAAAAAACGTACGGTCTTTCGGTAGTTTGGGTTCATTCCATCGTGAACAAAATTGGGTGTCATGCTCGAGCTCGCGGCTGGCGCCGAGAAAAGAGACAAGAGAGACAAGAGCGAGTTACTGCGCTACTTGAATGAGGAGCTAGGTCCTACATGTTGTGTATCTGTGAGGATAATACTGATATGGGGGGGGGGGGGGTGATGGTAGCATTTTTGTAATTAGCTTTCGTTCTTAGCTTCGATAATCAGTGCTAACATTGACCTTGGCATTTGTCGGCGCCGATGATCTCGGTATGTCATATGACTTGTAGCGTTGTAAAGGTAAATATGAAAGGGTTTATGAGGCAGATCACTTGCTATAGGTATTTAGTAATTCTATTGACATGATTTCCTCAGATTTGCGGAGAGAATCGTGATGTGTCTCACCGGAATGGTCGTTGTCAGGATGGCGTTGATCGCAGCGCCACCTAGGTGGTTCGCGTTTCGGCCGCTAGGGGTAGATGTAGGTGGCGCTGGGAACAGCGCTGTTTCACATATTCCTCGCTTTGTGTGCTGCTCCTAGATTCGCTGTGGGGTGGATCACGCGTTGAAGGAACGCATGCAGAAGTTATCATAGTTGTGTGTGTCCGGAGAGCTCGTTCAATGGTCCTTTCCTAGACTTACCCACCGTTATTTGCGATGCATTGAAACTTGAAAGGTTCAATGTGGGACAAATTACTTTCGTCATAATGAAGCTCTATTCATCACCAGGGCATCATTGATGCTCCGCTGCTACACCTCGTTCGGATGTATTTTCTGTCTTACGTAGACCCTCCTCTATGATATCTCGATGATATGCTGGCCTAGGGATGTCAGAAGTTTCCCGTGGCTCTGCCTCTGGTGCTGAAGTGCCCCGGGCTGGGTGCCACTGATCTCCGCCATGAACGGCTCCAGAACGGGAGAAAACGTCTCTCTGTTGTGCTCAAGCGACCTGTATGTATGAGGTCAGCGAGTTTTTGGAGCGGCTAAGCTTCAACCGCAGCGACCTGAACGGGAAAACGGTTATCAAGTGGCCTCTACCATGACTCAGTCTCAGATGTTTTCCGACATATGGTTGGACCTGAGATGATGAAGGCGGTTTTGGCCTTAATGGAACTGTTTCGCGAGGCCCACTCGACTGTGCTGACCTGGTCTGAAGCTCTGGTGAAAATGTCGTGATAACTTTAAGACTGAGGAGTCCGTGTGACCTGACCACAAGGCTCAAGACGTGATAACGGTATGTGCTGACCTGAAATTGGCGATGAACTGCTCGAGTACTGTGTGGCTTAATATGAGTTTGGCACACGCAGACGAATTAGATTACAGCACCGTAGTGTGCAATAATCAGACCATTGCCTTTAGCTATCCACTGAAGGCCTTTCTCATCGGAGTCGAACGGCATTTGCGGCTTATGCAGACGTGTGTATGACTGGGTCTATGTGATAAGGTGTAGGACGGCCCGATCGAGATGTACTTTTGGTGTTCGACGAGAAGAGACTTGGTCGTTACAGCACTGATCCACTATGTAGCGCTGCAGTCGGCATGCTCTGTGATACTTGTCGGCTTATGGTCGTTGGATTTTTTTAGGGACGGCCTAGGAAACCCTTCCCGGGGCAGTTTTTGTTCCGAGGTCCAAACGATTTTAATAAAGGTTATCATTATGCTTATTATGAGTTGGTGGCTGGTCATCAGACATCAGCGAATTCGAAAGCGCATACAATGTTGTGTGCATTCTGGAATTAATATGCTTAACTACGCATAACTTTCACATACTCTCTTACCATCCTCAGCATTTCCTCGCCCCTCGCTTTTCACCGAAGTCTATCATTCAATTTGACATCCGTCCCTTTTCACAGGCTCGGGCGGTCGGTTCCATGTTTGACGTTCCCCAGACCTCTTTCAGACCCTCCGGACTGCTGACCAGTTTTCCCAGAGTACCCAGTGGGGCCTCTGCGTATTATCCACGACTCACCAGCCTGCAATGACGGCCGGCAACGTGTGACTGTTGCCTCCCTGCCCCCAGGTGTGCCCGGCGCAGCGCCTGAGCTCTGAACACTCGGCGGAGTAGAGTGGCCAGTTTTAAGTCACTAGCGACCCGCCGTCGTCTGTGCAGCCATGCCGCTACGGTTCGCTGTGGTGTGCTCAAGTAACATGAATCGGAGTATGGAGGCGCACGCATTTCTCAGGTTGGCATCGTTCTACATAGATAATTGTTTGGCTGTGATATGATTGTTAATTGTGTGGTTTGCTAGTTAATCACTCACCGATAGTACAACGGCGAAAGTTTATATGAACACGCGTGACACGGTATGGCGTCATTGCGAGTGTTACAGCAATAAACTCTCCGGCCCACCGCCCTCCCAGTGTTCTCAACACGCTCTTCCTTCTCCTTATCCGAAGAAAGCACTTGTCCCGGATCATCAGGACATACTCGACCGAGCTTAGACGACTATTCGTAAGTTAGTCGTTCAAAGCGAATGAATAAAAGTTTATCTCCAGTAAAAGTATTTTGGGCTATAGGTAGGTATGCGTACTATTTGTTCATTCACAGAAGATGAAGGTAGTCTGAAGTCTGAGCAGCCATTTGCGGGTTTCTGTGCGGCAGACGCGCCACAATTATTTTAGAATACGTCATTTTATTTTGGTGAACATCAGCACCACATTTAATCCTATATTTGAGGTTTCATTATGCGGTATCAGACTTTCGAACTACTTCGCTAATTAGCCATTGGACCTCTCCTTCTTCCGAGCACTTAAAACCAATGGTTATACCTGACCGAGAGTGGGTGTAAGCATTCAATAGATTGACAATTAATCGGAGTACCTATCCAGCAGTAGCGGTGGAACACCTTCAATTAAGGGGGGGGGGGGCACTGCCGACTTTTGGTCCCATTCTGTCCATGCAACGCCCATAGGGCTAATATTAAAATGCCAAAATCAAATGGGGGACGGTGCCCCGGTGCCCTCCCCGTTCCGCCGCCTATGGTATCCAGGGGCACAGAACAGCACGTCATAGTGAGGTCGGAGGGGAATGGCTGTGTTCATCCGCGCCATGGCGGTGCGGTAAATGACATCTGAGCGGGGGGGGGGAGGAGTGAACGACCTCCTCGTCTAGCTTGGCTCAGGCCCACCACGAAGTTACAAGCGGTAAGCAGTGTATTTCGGGGTCGTCACATGAAAAAAATGCTGGACGTTTTGTGTGGCAGGTCACCAAAGGTCATTTAACCCGCGCCGGGCCGGGGGCGGGGGTGTTTCAACACGTACCCCTACGGTTTTTCGCAGATATCTCAAAAACAGTGGCGGGAGCGCCGCCGTTTTTGGCACATCTGTTCATGCATCTTTTCTACACATGTTGTGAAAATTTCAGACCCAGGGCTCTCAAGGTCAGGTCACCAGATCACGTCAAGTGACCTCACCTCAGAAAAAGTTGCAATCCTCTTCATAGCTACACCGACTGAACGATCGCCTTGAAACTTTCAGCGATTGATGAGAGTAACAGTATTTACAAAATGTTTATCTCGGAATTTTGATATCAATGACCTAGGGTCAGGTCAATTTTGCGACCTCTCCATTATAAGTCAATGGTAGAAAATTGAAATGCGCCTATTTTGGACGAATGCCGTTCAAAACCTCAAACATCGGTTCATAGGTAAACATGACACACTGAATCGGAAAAATGCACCTTGACCTGTGAACCCTGTGTGTGCCCCTGAGGTCATCTCAGGTCATGAACAGTCACCAGCAGTTTTTTGGCTATGCCTTTTGATAAGGACGTGCTAGAGCGATGAAAACACGTCAGATGTATTCAGCACGACGATACGGATCGACTGATATACAACATGACCCGTTTTCGGTGAGGCCATGACCTTGACCTGAGGTCAAACTTTTAAAATGACCTTTCAAGGTCAACAAATAGCTTTTTCGACGCGTCTCGACGAGAAGGACGCGATGTTGCCAAAAGTAATGTCGTGGCACTCTTGTGTCAAAAGTTATTGCCGAAAAACAGTTTTCGTGAAAACTGCTATTTTTACAGCTTCCGCCCTCTGGAGGCTAAACCGTTGATCTGAGGTCAAATCTGAGAACAATGCTCAGAAAGGTCTATAAAAGGGATATCGAATGCGCTTTTCCGCGGCGCTTTAGTTCTATTGGTTCCCGAGTTAGTCGTTGGCAGTTTTCAAAATTGTTGAAATGGACTACATTTGACCTTTGATGACCTCTGGCGACCTGACCTTTGACCTGACCCAAAAAATTACCGAATTGCTTCCGTCATTATTTTTTGCGCTCTTTCGAATGCCGCTTACCGCATGTCGCTACGTGGCCCAGGAGCTGAGTTAGACGGGGGTATTCAGAACCCCCCCCCCCCCGGTTCGGCGCGGAAGTCGCGGAGCACCGGCCCGGCGCGGGTTAAGATCAAATTTTTCTGGTTTGACGTTCATGAACGAGTTGGCTCATAAGTCTTGAGTCAGGAGAGCTATACCATCGGGGAGGGGGGGGGGAGTATTGAGCATTCGATAGTTCTTATAAAGCACTTTCGCTGTCGTGTCCTCATGTTTCACTAAACATTATGGCCTCAACAGCGCAACAAACGGTCAAAATAGACGCTTGTGTGGAAATAGTGTTATCTGCAATATTTGTATCGCTTTTTCACAATGATTTTAAGACATGGATTTTTCTAGCTTCGTTTCAAGACACTTTGAATGAACTGTAACTTGACCTGGAAGGCCAACTTCTGATCTGATTGAAGGTCAAGGTCATACTCTGCTCGGAGAAGTTCATGCTTCATAATTCGCGTTGTAGAGCTAGACAGACGTATTTTCATCCCTCTAGCATTAACCTATCAACAGTTTTTCATACATCTCAACTATTCTGTTTTCTTATCAATCTCCGAAACGTTCAAACTTCAAAGCAAACGACAAGCCGCGTTAGGGCGAGCGTTTACCTCTCCCCGAGAGCTGGTCACTTGCCATGACCTGGTGACCTGACATCGAATGAGTTGGAGCTGAAGTTTTCTGATTAGCAGGATAGACCATAAAATACACGCCGTTTTTTTAGAAACCTGACGGGTAGGAAGAGGCTGTCAAAACGCTGCTCCTCCGACACTGCACGGTTTAAAAATAACGCCAAATGAAGGCCAGGGAATAGATGACGGGTAAGACATGACGCCTAAGGTTGAAAATGTCTATCTAGGAGAAAGTCAGGCGGTCCAATGGCCGCATTTAGGTTGACATGTTGTCATCGCAAGATCAGGGAGATGCAGTATGGACATTTGACAGTATGCATCGAAAGGGAAATGCGGCAGCAGTCATGAAGGCGCTGCCGTAGGGCGCCAGCAGGGAAGGGAGCGCCGAGGGACCGGGGATCTCGGGTAGTGGGAAGGTTTCTAAGCTCTAATAAGCGCTGCAGAAATATGCGATATTGTTTTGTGAAATGGTGATTTTTCATCAAAATGGCTAGGACATCTGGGCTAATGTTTTCCCAACTGTTCCGGTTCAGGCAAATCAGGGATGCTAACAGCCGGGATGATAGTTGGAACGAGCTACAAAGCACCGCTCGTCCGTCAGAACCCAAGGCTGGTTAACGATGCTGCTAAGAAATTGTATGAACAACACGTTCTGGCCTCGATGACAATGCTTAGCTGTCGGATGGTGACACTGCAATCTCACTCTCACCCCTTCCCCCCTTCGTCTCGTTACCCTCTCGCCGTCTCTCTCTCCGACAGTAAGAAGAGTTTCACGGTGCAGTCGTTTGGCACCGGGGACAAGGTGAAGCTGCCCGGCTCGGCGCCCAACAAGCCGAATATCTACGACTTCGGCACCACCTACGAGCACATCTACCGCGACCTACAGGTCAGACGCCGGTCGTGACTCGGCAATTTCACGGGTAGCTGTAGAAGTTGCATAGCGATGCTAATTTACACTCAACAGACGCACGCATTAGTTCTAAAGTGTTGTGAAATAAAGGGATTTTATGAATGGGCTCGTGATGAAGGTTTTGCTTATTAACGCTCATTTCTACCACTTATCACCAAATTAGATGCCCAGATTTGACAGAAGTCGAAACTATTTTCAGTGTGTCTATTGTTTCTACAAAGAACTTCTGTTCATCCCACCACAGCCCTGGCCCCACAATCTTTAGAAACTGTGACCTGACTCTCTCCCTGCCCTCCCAGGAGAAGGACCGGTCGCTGTACACGCAGAACGGTCTGCTGCACATGCTGGACCGTAACAGACGCATCAAGCCCGGCCCCCAGCGGCTGCAGGAGTGCTCCGACAAGTTCGACGTGGTCATCAGCTGTGAGGAGCGCGTCTATGATCAGATCCTAGAAAGTGAGTCATGGGGAGCGCTGTGGGTGGAGGGAGAGGGAGGTGGTGGAGGGAGCAGGAACTTGCCATGCGGTTGGTAGGCATTAAAGTATGGTAGTTAGATAATTTAAAGGGTAGTGCAGTGTGAAGATATCTAAACGTAATTTATGTGGTCAACCAAAATTTGATAAATCTTTATCCCTGTCCATCGCTGCCTATCTGAGCTCTGAATAGTGAGTCAATGCCTCATTTGTTTGTTGTAGTCACGTGTAATTGAGCCCTCTATTTCATGGTCAGTCACTCGTTACTGCGTCTGTAACAGCCCGCTGCTTTCTGTCTCCTGCAGTGTTCGAGAGCCGGGAGCCGGTGGACAACACGCCCGTGCACGTCATCAACATTGACATCCAGGACAACCACGAGGAGGCCACGATCGGCGCCTTTCTCATCTGCGACCTCTGCACACAGGTAACTGCCGCCTCACCACAGTTCAGACCTGTGGCGTCTCCAAGAAGGTGATACCGTAGTTCAAACCTGCCACCGCTGTGCTCAGCCCATGCCGCATTTTTTGTCAGTTGGTGGGTATCATCTCGGTCACTCTTTTTTCTCCCGATCTCGGGTCGCACGCCACCCGCTCCCTGCCCCGCCTGCTCTGTCCCTCCCGCTGCCCCTTTCCCTGGCCCTCCCCGCTGACCCTCCCTCCCTGTCCCTCCCGATGTTCCAGCTGGAGGATTCACAGGACCTCGAGGACGACATTGACGAGCTACTTCAGGAGTTCGAGTCCAAGGCCAAGCGGCAAGTGTTGCACTGTGTCCAGTTCTATTAGGTCGCTCCCCCGTGCCGCAGACTGGTGCGGAAATCGCGTCACGGCGGCAACTGTACTGATCTGTTGATAATTGTACCGCACGTTGAATCGAGCTCTGGTTACGTTCGAAACGTAAAACCCAGAGACCAATGAATATTTTCCCATAATGCTGCAGCATATACCTCTGTATACCTGAGGTCGGGGTATACAGGGGTCATGACTGCGGTGGTCCGCCGAAGTTGAACCTCCGGTTTCGGCCGATAGATGGCAGCCGTGTTCGTTTAGCGGCTCCGGCGGATTGCGATCGTGTTTTACACTCGCCGTGTATTCGAGAGAGGTGAGATGTGACGATGACGCGACTGACGGTGTGGGGTTAGCTAGCTGTGTAGGGTGACAGGAATATATCGTCGCAACTCTGACCGGCCGTTACTGAGCAGTGAGCACTGGGCAGTCCCTCCATCCGACCGACCGAGGACTGGCAGAGGCACGGTCCGTTACCGCATTGGCGTCTCCGTTGACACACCTCATGACTGGTCCGATATGTATCATACCTACCTAGCAGCATAGTAATACACAGGAGTCAAATAGGCGTCACGATTGTTAGTTGGCTTATTTATGGCCTTGTATTTAAAGATCATTTGCGTCGCGATATTTCATAGGGGACTGTGAATGCATTCAGTATATACTATACACTATATAACTTACCACTTATTTGAAGTAGGTAAGTGATGCTATATTCACATTGACTAAGCCATGTCTACATAGTCCTGACGACTTCTGTCTGTAAGAAATAGGCATCCTACCCAGACCACAGCAACGAGTTGATGAACCCCGTCTGGCCACTCACTCTGCCTCCCTCCTCCGTGTGCCTTTGGCCGCGCCCGCCGCCTTCCAACTAGATAATGAGTGATGCATCCAAATTATTTCAACCATACCTCTAAGCAGGAATGCTAAAGGTCGTGAGATGAGGGACAGGCTGGCATCTCCTTTGACGGTTAACAATGAATCTTGTATGGAAAGCAAGGATGGGCCGTGAAAACCAAAAGCCTTGAAGTTGTATGTGCATAGTTCACATTTCAAATTCGCATGGTCGTAAATGCGTATCAAACAATTGTTTTATTGGCAACTTACTGCCTAACAAATCACTTGTCTAAAGATATAATAGCTAACAGATCTATGCTGAATATTTTCATAACTGAGGACCTTCGTTAGTCATGAAGATTAGAATGGGCCCTCGAATTTCCAATCCAATCAGCGGCACTTGGTATAATTTGACCCGATACAGGTCATCGCAGGCATCATGGGCTCAAGTGGCTTCACCGCTCATCCAACTGAAAGCATAAGCGAGCTGGGAAGCAGGCTCTTCCCGCGCGCGACCGATTTTACCTTAGTGAGCCTTGCGGCACAGCATGCCTGCAGGCGTTGACACACCCTGCCATCTAGCGGCCGGAGTATAAGTTAACGAAAGATTTTCGGAGTTACTTCACGCGGAGGTCGAGGCTGAAAATAAGGAAAAGGTAGACTCGGGAGTCGGTTGGCACCGAGAAGATCTTTTAAATTCATCGTTGATTATGATTTGAGGTTCATCATTGATCATGACCCATCGGCTTTCGTTCTTGATTGGTTCAATAGTTAGGTAGGTAGGTAGGTATGTCATAAGTCGTGACTTGTTGGAATTTTAGCACATCATTCACACAACCGCTGGAACAGCTTCCAGCGATTTATGCAGTTTATTAATGCAAAAAAATAAATTAACACGCTTCAAATATGTCATAGTAATTTCGTTGTACGGAAGTATCCAAAATGCCTACGAGCAGGTACTGAGTAAAATACACGTGAAACATCCGGTGCCTAATTGAAGCAGACCCACCCCCCGATACCTAACCCGTGCACACATGCATCACGTGTTCGTCCGGGTCTCCGCTGCCAGCGTGGCGGCGCGTCTCGGCGTCCCGACAGTTCCGCCGGAGAGGGCAAACACGCGCCCAGATAGCACACGTCCTGGTTGGTATAGCGGAGCGGGGAGGAAAAGTCGTCCGGCCGGGCAGCGCGGCCATGGAGGGCGCCCTATCGCCCGTCGGTGGAGGGGGGGAGGGGGAGAGGGTTGATTCACTTTTTGGTAGTTCATGGATTCGTTACGCTTATTCTCTGCGCTTTCAAATATCCCTGTACTTTAGCTAAGTGATTGGTTCAGTTCATCGCGGTTCGAGGATAAAGCTCACCTCAGGTTTGGCCGTTGGCCTATACCTACCTATACCCCGATTTCCACCCCTTCATCCATGAAAATCTCATATAACTAGGTATAGGTTTAGGTATAGGCATTGGAAACTGCAGGAGGCGTGCTCCCCCAAATTTCCTATAATTTCGCTTACCTTTGCGTTGCGTACAATTTTAAATTAATTTTTTACTTAAGATGCTTTTTTAGCATATGCAAGGAGAAGGAATCCTTATGATTTGGCGACAAATGTATAGCCCTCTTGATTGGCCACCCTGATTCGGGTAAAAAAAAGCCAACAACAAAAGGCTGCTGGACTTCCCGGAAATGATAGCTTGACGACCGACGTAAAAACCATAATCCTCCCATCTCCTCCCCTATGCACATGGTACTGCGGTGGAGGTGAGCGAAGGTGACCCGCGGATCATATCCAAGGTTATCTGTTGCCGGATTACAGGCCAGCTATCTTGCACAGTGTGCCACGCCGGCCAAGTCAGACACTCAACGGCCAGCAAACCACTTACGGCTGTCTGCACACAGGAATTAGCTCAGTGCAAATAGGCTGGACGCATTGCAAATCGCCGTATTTGCATTTCGATAAAACGTTTGGTTGAGTAAACGACGCCGTCTTGCAGAGACATTCTTTTTCCTGATAAGTATTTGATGTTTTATTTTTATGCCCGCAATCCTTCACATTTCAGTTAGCGCTTGGTTGCCTGCCCGGACATCACTAAACGTGAATTTTTGACGCGTTTTTTTTTAGGAAAGCAGAATGACAGCCAAATGCAGATTTTCGTCGTCCCGTCTAAATGACAAAACGCCTTTCAATATGGTTTGTTTTTTTAATCGAATCGAAATGCTGGATTGCATTGCAATACTGCATCAAACATAAGGAAAACATATATCTTGGATTTTCTATATCGGTTTCCTAAGGTCAGTTAATTCCCTTGCCGGCCGAGGGGAGGGGGCCGCGGGTTCGTCCTCCCTCCCCCTATAGAGCTTTTTCGCGATAGCTCGGAACACGTCGGCTAGAGAGCTGAAACTTGGCATAACTGACTTTGATTCAAGCCGAATCTTTTGACACCAATCGCATTTTAGGTCAGGTCATTTCACTGACCTATGACGTCATAAGTGGACCTCTGCACGGTCCTCAAATGTCGCCGCTTCGCAACGCCCTCAGTGCCGGAGGAACTTCACAGGGAGATAGAAACTTACAGGACGTAGTATCATCTAGAGGTGTCACAACTTGTAGGTATACCTCAGATTTTTTTTCGTAGGGTCACATGCGGTCAGGTCGGTCGCGTGGCCTCACCATGATAGGCTGACGAGGGAAATATTAAAACTATTATTTTGTCACCGGGTATGATCTTAAACTATCCTAACCACATTGAATTGTGATCTCATGCACTCCTTGCAAGGCCCGATGCTTCACTTTCGTGTTGTTGACCTTGCGTGACGTCATTTATGACGTCACTAGGGTTATAAAAGTTTTTCGTCAGTAACTCCCGATTAAATTGAGCTATAGAGTCGGAAAAGCCACCAATGGACTCTGAAAGACCTGCCGAATTAAGTGATATGCGACATGACCTCATTCGACCAGCGTGACCTGAGGGACTCTGACCAGAACATGACACGAGGTCAACACCTTAAGGTGTTGACCTCGTGTCAAGTTCACCTCAAGTTGACGTGTTCAAGTTGACCTCACCCGAACAGAAAGTATATCATTCGATGCGCCTGAGCTAGGCGAACACGATGATGCCAAAATCGCGACTCTGCGGCCATATTTTTTGCGAAGTTACTTAAACCAAACCGTGCCTTGGGTCACTTAAACTTATCTCAGAGGTCACCGGTTGACCTGATACCTACCTCGAAATCGGGTACCAATCGCTGCCTCACGTAGCGGCGGCACACGCTCGTTTTTACCGCGAGGCTATAGCTCCATTAGGGGCGAAACTGCGAGGGGGTCGTACCAGCCTTCCCCCTCGGCAGGGGCGTACTCGTATGTAAAAAACGAGTAGGTTCGGCGAGGGCTAAGTGTGTGAGCTCCCAATGATGAGTCAGTGTGAGAAAAATTGAGCTGCGATGTTGTTCGGCGGGAGCCATTCTAAGCACGCTAAATTCTAGAACATCGTATAACAGGTCAATATAACTTATTGAACCAAAGCATTGCATCCATAACCCCACCTGAGACACCTGAGGCCATCTTAGTTAGGTCATGAAAGGTTGTAATTATACAAACTTTTGAAAGAGACATTCTAGAACGATAAAAGTACCTTTAATGAAAAAAGTACCTTCAGCTCGACAATATGGATCGCCTGCAGTATGCTACATGACCTTTCGTTCGTTAATGATTTATTATTCATGATTTAATTCATTCATGATTGATGTACCGATGTTAAGAAGGTATTAAAATAGGCGAAATCGGACCTTTGACCTGACCCCGGAAAATGGGCTGAAACATCTTCATTGTCACGCTCTTTTGAACGCCGTTTACCGCGTGTCTCTACGTGGCCAGGAGCCAAGTTGAGGGGGAAGGGGTTAACGGTATTTGTTTCCCCTGAAAGGTTGATAAAATCTGGTATATGTACAGTACAGCTATGTCATAAATATAGGGCATCTTAGCTACCCTGGGCGTCTTAGACGCTTTCGCCTATCTTTGTTAATTGGGCCTATAACAAAAGTACCGTGAATATGCACAAGGCATAATAGCGTAACTGTTTTATTATGCGACTGTGCAACTAAGTTACCCATTCTTACACAAAGGATGTTCTTACCATGGGCCAACCGAAAGAGCACCCAGGGGGAGCGGGATGCTGTCTTCAGTCCACAAAATACGACTCTCGTTTGATACACAGTTACTATAGTTGAAACTCTGTAGTGTGAGACTGCAGGGTTCCCTTGAGAATTTCCGAGCAAACCATGGCCACTAGCCCCACCGCAGAACTGCACCATCGACCGTCGCTTTTGGCCGTCTTGGGTCCATCTCTGACACATTCCCCATGACTCGCCAACCACTGTCTCTGCCGTTGTCCAGAGGAACACAGTGTTGCCGTGTAATGAATTAATCCCTGGCGTTATTTGAACACTCGGGACTCTGGCCACCGGTCACCACCAAGCCAACATGTCTACCTCTTCAGCGTCCTGCTCTGCTATCGGCTCCTCACTGATATCAGTGGGACCGAGGTCAAAGGACCACCTCTCCCC